CAGTATCTTTTTTTTTTTTTTTTTTTATTGCATCACAAATAAGGTGATGCCTAATGAAACTGAAAGGCTTACATGAAAATATGCTACTTTTTGTACACGAAAACAACATAAATACCAAACAAAGACAATAACATAAATGTCAGAAAGTGGTAAGTATCCTCAGAGCTTCCTATTGTTTGGGAAGAGATAAACACATTGACTGGTATACTTAGGGAGCCACAAAAATAATAGAAGTAGAGTGTGTGACCTCTAAGTGGTAGTGGGAAATAGAAGCAATAAAAAAAATAGAGAAATGATCTGGGGGTGCAGCTCAGTGGTGGCACACTTGCCTAGCACGCAGCGGTCCTGAGTGTGATCCCTAGCACCATAGAAAAGAAAAAGTACAACAAAGAACCTCAGAGGAGAGGAGGAGGGAGGGAGACTCCAAGACAAGTTTGTAAAAAGTTGGTTGTGCACTAAGCTAGCCGAGACACATTTTAAAGCTTTGTTTTATCGACCACAATGTGTTGGAGTGGTACAGCAATCATGAGCCTCTTTTTTTGGTTTTTTGAGACAGGGGCTCGCTGTGTAGTCCAGGCTGCCCTCAAACTCGTGATGATCAGCTCCTATCTCAGCCTCCCAAATGCTGGGATTACAGGCACATGCCACGATGCTTGGCTGAACCTTTTATATTTAGAAGTATACATGTTATTTTTAAATTTCTAATCAATTCATTATCAGAGAAATCATAATGAAAATTATTCAGAACTGAGTAATAAAAAGCTTGCCTCTTGAAACTCATAGGGTTTGGGGGCTGGAGATTTAGCTCAGCGGCGTAAGCACCTGCCTTGCAAGCAGGTGGTCGTGAGTTCAATCCCCGGTACCGATAAAAATGAAAAAGACAAAAAAAAAAAAAAAAAAAAAAAAGAAACCCATAGGGTTTGGAAGAATGAAAAAATCAGTTTCATTAGCAAAAGAAAAATGCAGATTAAATTCACAATAATTTATCATTTCACATGGGACAGATTGATAGGTTACAAAGTTCAGACTGAGGGACAACTGAGAACACCATTGATGGGGGTGGTAGATTGATCTAATTAATTTGGAAGAGTTTGGTATTCCCTGGTCAAGTTGAACATATGTATTTCCTTTAATTTAATACTTTACTGGAAGGAATATAACCTAAACTCTGTGCATGTGTACCGGAGCCAGTAAGAGGTAATTCATAGCAATATTATTTATTCTTATTAATACCAGTAACAAATACAGTAACCTAGAACACCTCTAATGTCCGCAAGACGTAGAATGAATAACTAAATTCTGGTATACCCACACACTTGTGACACAGTAGCTATAGTTATTAACATGGTCAGAAGTGTGGGACCAATGTCATATGCCTGAAAAGACCAATCACAAAAGCATGCATGGAAGTAAAATGCCAATACAGGCAAAACTAAACAGTATATCACTAGGTATACCTGCATAGGTAGGTACCACCTAAAAGTATAAAAAAAGTCAAGCAAATAATTCAACATCAGAGTAATGGCTACTTATGGAGAATAAGAAAGGATTTATTTACAGTAGGTTTCAGAAAGTTGGTATTTATGTCTGAAGCATAATCACATATAGACGATGAATTAAAGTTTATACAAGTTTTCTTTGGTTTGAATTAATGTTCATATAATTTGCATGCATATGGTTTATTTTATAGTATTAAATACAGGAAAACTCCAGCCTCAGTCATAAAAGAAATGCAGAGAAAAAATATATCGAGGAACTAGAATTTCAACAGAATGGGAGAAAAATTTACAAATTTTCTATCTGATGAAGTTTTAATATTTGTCCTATATAAGGAACACTTATCAGTCAACAATAATGCAGAAGGTAGCTAAAGGGAAAAATGGATAAAGGATTTGAATACTCATTCCTCAAAAAAATATTTATATATGTAAAATCAATAAGCATGTGAAAAGACGTTCACTACTATTGGCCATTAAGGAAATGTACATGAAAATCACGATAAGATTCGACTTCATCTCATTAGGGTGGCTTTAATAACAAAGAAAATAGAACAAGTGTTGGTGAAGACATGGAAATTAGAAACTCTTGCACTTTCTGGTGGGAATATAAATTGGTGCACTGCAGAATGGTTTGATGGTTTCTCAAAAAGTTAAGCATAGAATTTTTATGTCAAGTAGCATTTACCTTCTAGGTATATATCAAGAGAATTTAAAATGTGTACCCACCCGAAACTTGTCTGTGAGCACCAAGGTGGAGGTGAGCCGGAAGTCCATCAGTGTGTGAATAGGTAAAGCAAATTGAGGCATATAGAGAACGGACACTGAGAATTATTCAGCCATAAAGGGACTGAGGTCCTGGTGAAGGTTGTTAGATACATTTCTAAAACATTGTGCTAAATGAAAGAAGCAGACAAGAAAGGTTGTATGGTGCATCAATCCTTTTATGTGGCATGGACAAATCCATAGAGACCGAAAGCAGGTTAGGGTTACCGGGAGGTGGAGGAAGGAGGGAATGGGAAGCAACTACTTCGTAAGTCCTGGGTATTTTACAAGATGACAAGTTTTGACAGTAGACAGGCACGGAGATTGTACAATATAAATTGTAAATACAAATGCTACTGAACAGCACCCTTTGAAATGGTTACGGGAGTGGGTGCATGTTATGTGAATTTCACTTTGATTAAAAAAAAACTTATATTGGTCCCATTTTGAGACTATATTGAGGTGTCACCGGAGAAGACCCTAAAGTTTGACGATGCACTGAATTGGTGAGCTGTTAAGAAGTGTTTTGGTCCTCTCATTCATTGCGATGGGAATGTGAATTAGTATAACTTCTGCAGAATGCACTGTGGGCACATTTGTTAAAACTGTAACCATCCCTACCTCTGACTCAGCAATTCCAGCTGTGGAATGAAACCTACAGATACACAGGTGATGACATGATTAAGGATGCGAGATGATTCATTGTAGCAGGCTAATAAATTATGGGCTATTTGGGTAGCTGCATGAAAGAATGAAACCTTTTTTAAAAAATGTATGTTTAATAGAACATATTCAAGTGAAAAAAGCAAAATGCAGAGTGTGCATAGTATGACACTATTTGTATAAAAAAGGGGGAAATGTATGTATTTGTGTCTTCATGCCTGAAATAGGTTATGAATGTAACATTGAAGGAAACTTGGTATTGCAAGTGGGCCCGAATTTGAGTACCTTTAAGACTGTGGAGAGGAGGTTTTCCACTGTAGGAGTGTACCTTTTTAGTTTTAAATTTGTGTATATGTTTTTGTAATGCATAATTTAAAGTTGAATTAAAATTCTAAAGTGAACATTTGAAAGAACAAAGCACCCAGTCCCTTCAGACAGATCAAGAGCTGTAGCAAATAGGTCTTGTCCTTTAGTGATATTTGTTAGGTTCTCCTAATCGTCTCCTGACACCAGTGTTTGTGTCTTAGCACTTAGTTTGTGCTTTCCTAGAGGCAGAGTAATGCCTCTTTTTTGTTTTTGTTTTTTTTGAGACAGGTCTTGCTGTGTAGTTCAGGCTGGCCTTGAACTTACTATGTAACCTGTGCTGGCCTTGAATTCACAGCATTCCTCCTGCCTCAGACTCCCAAGTGCTGGGATTACAGGCATGTGCTACCACACCCTGCCAGGATCATGCTTTTCATACTCCTATATACAGTCCAGTTTCCACAGTCCAGTGTGTCCCCTACTCCAGCCCCCATACTGGAGTCGGAACCCAGAACCTTCTGTACTGACCTAGATGGCCTCCTTTTAATTGTTTGAGATAGTATCTTGCTAAGATGCCCAGGTGGGACTATAATTTGTGATCGTCCTGCCTCAGTCACACAGAATGTTGGGATTGCAACTGTCTGCCACCATCCTAGCCGCCAGTGCTTTTTATGTACAACTACTCCTGGTTTAATGACCTGTCTGTTTAATGACAGCCTGGATTTAATTGCCAAGGCAAGATGTTAAGACTTAACACCTGCAGCTCAGATTTACAACCCGTCATTTTTTTATGGCGTAGTTCTGTATGTCTTATTGAGTCTCAATATCATTTTTTGGCGTCATATACCTTGTTTATACAGTACTTTCCTGCCAAATGCATTGTACAGTACACTATCTAGTTTCCTATTGTCATACATTACAGTGCTCATACAGTGCCTCGGGGCTCATGCAGTTTAAGAGGCAAATAAAAGCAAGTCACCAGGTCGGAGTTTCCTTTGAGCATTTCTTTGTTCTGACTGTTAGAATGTATATACTATATGCAGTTCCTCATTTCGTGACCAATTCACTTTAGCAATCTGGTCACAGTACCACAACTTGGTTGTTAAATGGGGAATGTCTGTAGTTGAAGTTCATTTAATTCTTAGCAGCACTGGCTGGGCCTGGTGGTGCATAAAAAGTCTTTAGTGATAACAGTGTATATATTGAATACGAGATGAAAGGAGGTGAGCTTAGGTTTCTTTCAGTTTTGTATAGATGAATCCAATGAGTGCAATGAATGAGTACATTTTCATAGAACAGGAGGGTTGAGGACAGTGCCTGGTTTGTTGTTTGGGTTCCTCTGTTAAGTAAATTCTTCCTACCTACAACCTACCTGATGATCTGTGTTAAACTGTATTGATACTAAATTATTGGTAACTGGCACAGTTATTAATCCCAGCGATCCTTTAACAACATGGATTTTATAGGGCTGTTTCCAAATGCTCCAGTGGATTTATCAAAAAAGGCTCTGTAGGTGAATGAGGAGTTTGTGTATCACTTCATCCTTTTTTTTTGTGTTTCTTCCTTTTAATTTGATTTGTCTGGGCTATAAATTTCACTAACAAAGCACCTTGCCATTGTATTTCCAGATGTTAAACCTGAAAATATTATCTTCCAGTCGCTAAAAAGAAAAAGAAAAAAAAGTGAACTTACACTCACTAGCCTTACTTCCATTTGCGTAGGACAGGCCGCGACAGGGGTCTGCTGGGAAATGAACCTGTGCTCTTCCCACAGGGTGGAGAATGCTTGCACCAAGCTTGTCCAGGCAGCCCAGATGCTTCAGTCAGACCCTTACTCGGTGCCTGCTCGAGACTACCTGATCGATGGTTCCAGGGGCATCCTCTCCGGCACGTCAGACCTGCTCCTGACCTTCGATGAGGCTGAGGTAGGCAACCTGCGGCCCGCGCAGACCTCCTCCAGATAGAAAGCCTAGTTTTAAGGACGATAATGGAATATTGGTGATTGAAGACATGTATTTCTGGGCTTGCTATGTGTTGTTCCCTCACCTGACTCAGTACTCTGAAATATATTTTCAGGTTCGTAAAATTATTAGAGTTTGCAAAGGAATTCTGGAATATCTTACAGTGGCAGAGGTGGTGGAGACCATGGAAGATCTGGTCACTTACACAAAGAATCTCGGGCCAGGTGAGTCATGTCCAGCTCGTATAATAAAATGATTATAGATTGTCCATGTGGGAGCAACACAAGAGAGTGCCCTCTCTGATTTTTTGCTAAAACAGATGTTGATGGATTGGGCTTTCAGGTGTCTGCTCTGCTGATGGAAGTGACACCAGGCTTCCATGAAGGCGATATCATTGTCCCTGAAACGGCCATCTCCTGTCTACAAATCCTGGCTCTGTCAAATGAATTAAAGTGAACATTGCGAATGTTGCTGGGGAATGCAGCAAATGCTTTTCTATTACTGTAATGCTGCAGGCTACCCTGAATCTTGACCTCTCTCCCCGTTCTGCATCACACAGTGTTCCTTCGCTGTCAGCCAGCTGGCCTGTAGCTCTTATGACCTCTTCACATGCTAATTAGCCTGCTTACTGTTATGGATTCATGCCTTGCTCGGGGTGCACCCAATAATGAGACCTAGGAGAAGAGAAGAGCTGCTGTGCCTAAGTCTCATTTTGAAATGCTTAAGCATCTGAGTATTAAATATTCAAAATACACCAACAGATAGCAACTTTTGATGTTAGAGATGTATAGAATGACCCAGAGAGTCCCTGAAGTATAAATGTGACCAGTAGAAGATATCCTGGGCATTTAACTTGACTTGATGTTTATTGCCTTAAAAAATTCTTTTGTTGGGGCTGGGGATTTAGCTCAGCGGCATAAGCGCCTGCCTTGCAAGCAGGCAGTTGTGAGTTCGATCCCCGGTACCGATAAAAATGAAAAAGACAAAAAAAAAAAATTCTTTATATATGAAAGGTTGACTTTTTCCTTAACAGTATGAGTTTGTGGTGTAGCTGTTCTGTAAACTTAACAGCACTAAGAATTTTCCTGAGGGGCTGGAGATTTAGCTCAGCGGCATAAGCGCCTGCCTTGTAAGCAGGCAGTTGTGAGTTCAATCCCTGGTACCAATAAAAACGAAAAAGACAAAAAAAAAAAAATTTTCCTGAGTCATCATCAAAGAGCACCTGGAAAAGGGCTTTCCTTGATAACTTCAGAGCTGAGCTCTTTAAGCTTTCTCATAGCATGAGGAAAAAATATTTCCCTAAATGGAATTTTATGTAGCGTCCTCTAACATTTAAAAGACCAAACAAAGCTACTCTGGGTGAAGTAGAAGCGGCCTCACCTGTGTTAGCAATCTCCCTTTGGTCTTAACAGTCTTTGAGACAGCTTAAGAAATCCTAGGGACAATTTGAAAATCAGAGCTTCACAAAATTGTGTAGCACCTTTGAATAACAACCCGAGTAAATGAAGTGTAAGGCCAACTCCAAAACATCAGGTGCTTGCAAATGCTGTCATTACTGTGATTAGTTTTATATTTCCATTGGTTTCTAATAATAAAATATGCTTAATTTAGACAAACTGGAAAGTACAAAAAAATAAAGATGAAAACGTGCATATCATTGTCATTCTTTGAACTTTTTGCAGCCCTTAGATTCAGTACTAAGCTCATGTGAGATTCTTCCGTAGCATAGCACAGTGGCTAGATACGGCATGAAACATACACATGATAATTAGTTTTTATACAAATGTGCATTGAATCATTTTAGATTTTAATGCTTATGAATATATTTACATGAAAATTATACCATATTTTGGACTTTCATTTAATAAGTTACTTTTTTTTTTTTTTGGTACTGGGGATCGAACTCATGACTGCATGCTTGCCAGGCAGGCACTGATGCCGCTGAGCTAAATCCCCAGCCAATAAGTTACTTTTATTCAAAAGAATAACACTTCAAAATGTACGAGAGTTCAGCAGTAGTGTCTGTTGTTTAAGTAAGTGGGCAACCAGTTTGGACTCTCATAGTAACTCATAATGGATTTAGGCTGAGAAAGCCAGATCCTGGCTAGTTTTATTTCTCACTCTGCAATTTTTCTGTCTTGGACCCCAGGAATGACCAAGATGGCCAAGATGATAGACGAGAGACAGCAGGAGCTGACTCACCAGGAGCACCGAGTGATGTTAGTGAACTCCATGAACACAGTCAAAGAGTTGCTTCCGGTTCTCATTTCAGGTATTTCCTGTTTGTAATTGATTGTATAGGGAAAAATACATGACTGTGTTCTAAACCTCGAAGGCTATTTCCTTTAGTGGCTTCATTGCCGCTGGTGGGCTCGGTATTACGTGGAGGCTGCAGCTGCTGGCCAAGAAGCAGCCTCATCTTCTTATGTTCTCCTTCTCCTGCTGCTGAGTTGCCCTTCCTGTGCCCTGTAAAGCTCTGACAGGACCTTCTTCCGAGAGGTGAGCATCTCTCATTTATGTGGAGATCGAATTTCACGCCCTGTGTTACAGAAAAACAACCAGGAGTGGAAATGGCTGTTTTGGAGTACTATATGTTAAAGCTTCCTTTTCAGTGTGTGTTGGCATAGTTTTTCCTCAAAGATGTTTAACTGTTGTGTACATTCTGAGTACATCAGTTCTTTGATCACTGGTTGGGACCATCTTATCTTTCCCTTGGTCAGAGCCCAGAAATGCAAATATGATGACTGCCCTCTCAGCAGGGAAAAGGACTTGCATTTCCACAGTGTCTGGAAAGCCCAGCACTGTTTAGTTTACGTAATTATCTTAGGCAAGTTGTGGTGTAGTTCATTTTATTTTTGAAATCATAAGAGGCATGTCCCTGGGACTCCAGTTGTTTGCCTTGGTGGGTGTTTCAAGTAGTAGCTAAGAAAGGAATTTACATACAAAATATGATAAATAGAACCTTTTATGAAGTGTTTTTTTTGGGGGTGGCAGGAGGGCCATTTACTGGGATTGAACCCAAGGCCTTGTATAATGCTAGGCAAGGGCCCCACCATTGACCTGCAGCCCCAATCCTGGGAATAATTTTTTGAGACCAAGTGTCCTACTGGCAGAGGATGTTTAGGAGTTAGTTTCTTTCCAACCTGGGTAACTCAAAGCATTGGTTAATATTTGTTTATTGAATTTTAATTATTATTGTTTACTTTTGAGGGTTAGAAAGTCCTTGCTACATACAGAAAGAAATCGTGGAGGACAAACTCATTTCTCTGGGGTTTCCTGCTGGGACTAGGGGCAGCAGAGTACCGTTGATAGTTTTCATACTGTTGCAGTAGGTTTACAGCAGGTGGAGTCAGTTAGAGCCCAGGCTGATGGAAGGGTGTTGCGGTGTGTTTTGTGCTTTGAGTGTTCTTTACAATGAAAGTTGCTGATAATGGCACTCTATTGGCAGATTTGCAGTGTTTGTTTAGCATTATTCTTTTAAGGCCCCGGAACCCCCAAAATACGTATTTAAAGTGTGAAATATCTTGTGTGAACATTGTATATAAAAGGTTAAATTCCAAGTTTAGCTTCTGACTTTTTGTTTATTTTATAGCTATGAAGATTTTTGTAACAACTAAAAACTCTAAAAACCAAGGAATAGAAGAAGCTTTGAAAAATCGCAATTTTACTGTAGAGAAGATGAGTGCTGAAATTAATGAGATCATTCGCGTATTACAACTCACTTCTTGGGATGAAGATGCCTGGGCCAGCAAGGTGAGTGATACTGGAGAGGAAATAAACAAGCTTCCAGTTCTTCTGGGGATTTTGATTGTCACCTGTCTCATATTTTATCTTATGCTGTGTATAGCACAAGAGAACACAGACATTGTGAGACTAACATTTTGCTTTATGGGTTATTTGGTATCGTAGCAAATTTCTTTTGTCCCAAGGTAGCACAAAGAAATAGGCACCCGGGGTAAATGTTAGTTGAAGGCTGAAGCGTGGAGTCTCAGCTTCAGGCTGGGTTCTCACTGGTTGGGCTGGCAGAGGAATTCTGCTCTGTATCCTTCCCTGGGTGGGATTCCTGCCTTGTATGTGGGGAGTTGTTGCCAGGTGAGTAGGATAGATACACAGCATGCTTATATTTCTAAGTTATATTATGTTTCTGAATTATATAAAGGGTAAATGTAGGAAATTCTTAGTATTTCTAGATGTGTCCCTTGATCATTCCATTTTCCCTAAGAAAAGTGTTAGTCGGTTTGTGGGATCTCTTTGCCCTGCCTGGAATCTCCTGTCAGACTCTAGAGGGGTTGACGGGTTCCCTCTGGAGCCTCCAGCAGTGGCTTTGCATTGCTGCTGCTTTGGTCCACATCTTCCCGTGTGGTGACCATGAAAAGAGCTTCCAGGTCTTGGGGAACATGTGCCTTGCAGTAGCCCAAGATGCAGGCGGTGGAGGGACCATGCGGTCCCCAGGATCTAGCTTTTCCATAGGACCTGAAAGTCTGCAGGGCCACCCACAGGCAGGAAGCGAACTTCCAGAGTAGTTTGACTTCCGTGGATGCTCTGGACAGCCACAAGGTAAGCCAGGATCTGGGGCCTGCAGGCATCGCCTCCTCTCTAGTTGCCCAGAAAACCGATTTAACTATGAATAATGTTAGTTTACCTTAACGGTAGATTTGTTTACAGAGACATTTTCTCGGTGATGTGGAATTGTTTTAGTGGTTTCTAAATTTATTTTGCGTTTATACTGTAAAATCATTTTAAGTGTTTGCTTTTGTATACTTGACAACGTTTACTTCCCTGTTGTGACTTCTCTATGCATCTTTTTTTGTTGTTGTTCTCTTGTTTTGTTCTTTTTCTCACACTTAGAAGGTAAGCCTTTCTTACCCTTTAGTTTCTTTTTTGCTTAAAAAGAGAGCAAGCATGTCTGGAGGTTTTCGTGTGCTGTGTGCTGTGCTTATTGTGTGTGCTGGTGTGTAACACTGCTCGAAGGGTCAGAATGGGACTTACACGGGACTCCGGACAGACGGCCGGTGGCTCAGCGCGAGCTGTTTCTTGGGGGGAAACACAGGACTATGGGATGCCAGGCTTTCTGTATTAGGGAGCTTCTATTATCTCTTTAAGCAGCTCCTTAGAGCTTTTTTGGCCCGGTTCTTCCCACTGATTTCATTTGAGGGGCAAGTTTCCTCAGGGTGCTAGGTGACCCCGAAGTTACCTCTAGACCCTGCCCTTGGAAAAGGAGACTTTCAGCTGATGCCTTCTCTGTAGATGCTTCTTCCGTCACTGTCTCTCATTCTCCTGTCTGTTTGTCTGTCTGTCTCTCCCTCCTTCTCTCTTTTTAAATTTTTCTAGACAGGTCTTACCATGTAGTTCAGACAGGACTTTACCTCGCTACCATATTGTAGGCTGGCCCCAAACAGATGGGAATCCTCCTGCCTCAGCTTCCCCAAAGGGTGGGATTACCGACCTCTGCACCGCCATACCCAGCCACGCCAGTCTTCTTCGCTGGCTCTGGTGTTTTGTTTTCACAGATGTGCCATTGAGGTTTTAAGCGGTAATGAAAATAGATAGTCTAGAGAGCTTAGCTGACACAGCTGGCCTGCATATAATGATCTACCAGTCAAAATCAAAAGGACAAAGGAGGACTGTATTTCTAGTGCTTTTCCCCATCCCAGCTTTCTGCATTTTCTGCTGTCTGAGCTGTGAATCAGCTCAGTTCTCTCTGACCTCATGTTACCCTTCTAGTAGACGAGCACGCAGTAACGAGGAGCAGACATTTAGCTTTCATGTTTCTCTGTTCTTGTAGGGGAAACGCCGCCCCTCATTTATGACTAAGTCTTACTGAACTCTGTTCGTGCAAGTGCCATCCAGAGAACTCAGTTGAGTTTTTCAGGACGAGGGTCAGACCCCTGGGGGAGCGTAGACGGGAAATAGAGCTGATGCCTGCTACCTGCAGGCTTGTAGCTCTCTGTTTTATGCTGCAAAGCTGTTAGGAATGAAAGTAAGTTAGTGCAGCGTAAAGAAGCTCAAATCGTGACATCAGAATGCACGAGAGATACTTATTTTTTTTTTAGCCTACGTTGCTTTTGTTACTTGGTCCAGTAATCGAAATATCATGAAAAGAGAACATGACAAGCCTCACTTCCAGCCCTCTCCCCAGCCCTGTACTTCGCTTTCCTCCCTAAGAATAATTTTGACTAGTTACGAGAATATTTAGAAACGGTTTATCCTGAGAATGGATAGTCTGTTGCTTACTGTCAGTTTAATAGGATTGTGCCGCTTTCCCTGCTCAGCCGTAGCAGTGAATTCATCAGATGCGTGTCTGTCTGTGCCCACCGGGTTCCCGTGCTGTTCGATGCATAGGTGTCTTTCACCTCCTCTCGCCCCTACCCTACATAATTAACTTTGTCTTACCGCACTTGTTTCATGCTTCCCCACTGGTGCAGTATTCTTCTGGAAAATGATGGTTCCTCTAGAAAAATGGGGGAAGAAAGTAAGTGGAACAAATTCTCTGTAAAAATGTGTCTTGCCCAGTAAGTTCAGATTTTAAACCGGCAATGCAGTAGCCGGTTATTTTACCTTTTGTACCTACGTTTAAATTGCAGATTTATAAATTTAAAAATAACTGACTGTGGAAGTAGCTGAGTGGCAGAGCAGCACTGTCCTGGCGTGTGAGATGCTCTGCGATGAATCCTCAGTACTGTCAGAAAAAGTAACTTTGATTTTCAACGTTTCTTTCCAATGTAAAAACTATCCTCTCCTTAAATCAATAATCAGCTTTATAATGATCATTAAAAGTCAAGTTAGCATTTTTCCTGGGAGTGTATTATGAATCCAGAAAATCTGACTGAAACACAATATTAATGTTACTTTTAAATTCTCAGTTGTAAATTCTCTGTACCTAATCTTTTTAAAAATGTGTATTCCTTGTGTCTTAGTGCATGCTGGGAATTAAGAGGAAATGAGAGAAAAAAATTTTTTAAAAAATTTTGTCTTTTTTGAGACAGGGTCTCGCTGTGCAGTTCAGGCTGGCCTTCAACTCACTTTTGTAACCCAGGCTGGTCTCGAACTCGCAATGATCCTTCTGCCTCAGCCTCCCGAGTGCTGGGATTACAGGCGTGAGCCACCACGCCTAGCTGAGAGAAAAATTTGTAAACAAACTTCACTGCTCAGACTTCTGAATGCTTCATAGCTGCTCCTGCAGCTTCACACCCTGAGTCACGAGATAATGCTGTCAAAATTAGTTGCAGTGTGCATCCCTTCCAGAGGTGCAGTGAGGGGACTGCGTCACCAAGGAAGGAGCCGGTGTTCCGTGTGCCATCCTGTAGCACTGGTGCCTACTCTGGCCCACTCTGACTGAAAGGCTGAATTTTATTCAATCACTTTTGAAAAATTAGCTAATATGTGTGCTTTTCATGAGTATTCTAGTGTTTTTACAACAGCTAATTGAATGAAAGCGTGTAGGAGATTGGGGTAGTTAACCCGGCCACTTACGGTTCCCTTCGCTCCTCACTTCTGACACGGAGCCCGATCCCCGAGAGTCAGGGTGCGCTCAGTTACTGCCTTCAGCCGATGCCTCTGTGTGTGCGCCCGTGGCAGCACGGATTTTGAAAGCTGGAAAGGTTTCCAGCTTGGAGATGGGAAAGGTCGGAGAGGCCTGAAGTCTCAGGCTGTCCTCTGAGCTGTTCTTTTCAGGAGCACCTTTGTTCCACACATGGAGTGGAGGAGGCGGAAACTGGTCAGAAATGGGATGGAGTGGCGGGAGGAGGACGAGAGCAGGGAAAGCAGGTTGCCACTCACGTAGCCGGGTCCTTATTTCTTGTACTTAAATTTTTCGATTTTGAATCCTGGGATTCACTTTCCTGATGATAGTTTCTCTTGATTATCTGTAGGAGGAGTTCACCATTATTCACAGGTGTGCTTTTTTTTTTTCCTTTTCTTTCTTTGTTCCAGAGTGTAGAAAAGTCACTTGGTTCTTTCACATGTGCAACATGAAGAAATTACCGGGGCAACAGGTCTAAGCATATTTTGCATGTTAGGAATGTTTCAGTTCCTGAGAAAACAGACAAAGCGCTTCTTCCAGGCTGTCCTTCCACCTCTGGTATGAGGGGAGAGCAAAGGCACTGATTTTTATTTTCCAGCTTGATCTGAGGACAGTTTCTGGGTGAAGGGGATGGGACAAGGAATGAGATAGGAGTGGCCAGCTGTCACAGCCACCATGCTGTACCTGGTGTTTTCTACTCTTAACAAAGCCCACCAAAAACACATCAGACAATTTTTTTTTTTTTTTGGTCTTTTTCCTTTTTATCGGTACCGGGGATCGAACTCACGATTGATTGCCTGCTTGCAAGGCAGGTGCTTATGCCACTGAGCTAAATCCCCAGCCCCTTTTTTGTTTTTGTTTTGACATCAGAAAATGGTAACTGGCTTTTTTTTTTTTTTTTCTAAATTTGAGTGTTTATAGAGAAGACTATGAAAGGGGCAGTATTTTCTGTTTCGCTCAGATTGTACTGTAAGTGCTTAAAGCTTAATGAAGTGCTTATCCCACATGATATGGTTGACCACAGGATTATGATTATTTTTACCCTTTAAAAATATACATATCTCCAAACTGACCTCTAGGCCTTAGTGTTCAGTGAATTCTTTTTATCTTATCTAATGTTAGTGTACGTCTGTGGCTTATAGAATTTTGTCAATTTCATCAATAAATACTGCCTTTCAAAAGAAGTATGTATGTACAAGATTCTTAGAGAGCAAAATGTTTCTTTCCATCAAAAGTTCTTGTTTTAATAGATGATGACATTATACTGTATTGTTTAAATGATTGATATGAACTGCTTTGTTCAAGAAAGAATTTAGAGCCAGGGGTTTAACTCAGCAGCATAAGCGCCTGCCTGGCAAACACAAGGTCATGAGTTTGATCCCTGATACCAAAAAAAAAAAAAAAGACTTTAACAAGGCCCCTTTCAGTGACAGCTTTAAATCTTCAAATTTACCTAAAATTCATGTATTAAAAATTAGTAACTATGTGGGTGTAGTGGCACACACCTGTGATCCCAGCACTTGCAGGGGCCGAGGCAGGGGGATTGCCTGAGTTGGAGACCAACCTGGCTACATCCTGAGATGCTGTCTGAAAAGATCACTCTCGCAGCCCCCCACCCCCACCCCAAACCCCAGATGGTAACTAACTGACCCCCACACCCAGTTGTGAAATGCATCTCTACTCTAAATGAGCATCTCCGTTTTCACTTCTCTTGTCAGACAGCCCACACAGGAGTCTGTTACTCACTTCCTGAGAGTCATTCTTTCCTTGGAATCCAGTGATCATTTGAGCTTTATTAGGAAAAAGATAAATGATTTCTGAGGATGCTGAGGAGAGCGAGATGTATCTGTCACATTTCAAGTCACTTTGGGGCACTGGAGGATGAGCAGTTCTAGAGCTTATTTTCTGGGCAGTACTAAACAAAAGCCCAAGGTGACGAGGCAGAGTTTTGCTGCCTATTGTATAAAGCTAGTGACATCTTTGGCAACTCTCCTTGGTTAAAAAGAATATTAAATTTCATACAAGTGCATTCCTTGTAATCCCAGCACGGAGGGCTGAGGCCGGAGGATCCCTGTGAGTCTGAGGCCAGCCTAATTTCATAGCAAGACCCTGTCTCCTAAAAAAAAACAAAAAAAACCCCCAGACATTTTAAATGTGATCTGATGTAAATTAATGATGTTTGGAATCAATAAACCTGAGGTCAAATGGTTTGGTTTCTGGGCGTGATCTCTCCCTCCCTCCTTCCTCCCATCCTCCCTTCCTGCTTCCCTTCCCTAGGTTGACCTCAAACTTGAAATTTGGTCTTAGCTTCTCTACTGGGATTGCAGGAGTGCACAACCATGCCCAGCTCTCTGTTCTTTAATTTGTAACATTATGTCACATTTAAGTTTGCAATTCAGTGGAATAAGCGAGGGGAAAAGTGGCTTCAATATGTAGGAAATGCTAAATTGAAGTTGGTTTTCTCTGTAGTAGTCTTTATTCCTAAGACTAGACACTAAAAGTTTCTGACTTTCTCTTCCTTTTGAATATAGATTTTTGAAATGTAACTAAGTCTTTAATGGCTATCTAACTGAAAATAAATGTGTTAAGGAAATGGTTATTAATGGGTTTTGAATTAAATATTTTCACTGTGACATAATTCCTCTTCTCCAGGATATGCACAGATATCCCAAGAGCTCTCTCGCTATGCATATATATATATGTGTATGTATGTATATAAAATTTGTATCTAGGCAACTTGTGTTATGCTTAATAATTTATGTTAACATGAAGGAGGTCCAGCTCCTGAGGCTAGGAGTTGTCCAAGATTCTCTTAAAAAGACACTGACCTGGGGCTGGCCCCCAGCATTTGGGAGGGGGCTGAAGCAGGAGGATTACTGAGAGCTCAAGGCCAGTCTGGGCTAGTAGTGAGCTTAAGGCCTTGCTAATTTGGAATTGAGCTTTGCCTTACTTTAGGAGGTAAAGTTCACTGTACAAATTAGTGTTAAATAAGGTAGAAGAGCAGAACAGGTATTTAAATCCTATGAGAGTCAAAGCACTTAAAAATGTTTTGCACCGAGTGCGGTGGCCACCTGTAGTCTCAGTACTCCGGAGGCTGAGGCAGAAGGAGCTCCAGTTTGAGGCCAGCCTGGACTGTACGGTGAGATCTCATCTCAAACAAAACAAAGCCCCTCCATCCCCTGGGAGGGAAAAGGCACCTACTTCCCGTCTACCTGTACCAGTTACAAGGTGATTTTTTCACAACCCAACTTTTTCTTGTCTTCGTTTTGGCACTAGAGACCAAATCTGGGTCCTTCACACAGAGCTACTTCGCCTTTTTAAGTTTCTTTTGAGCAGGGTCTCACTCGTTGCCCAGGCTGGCCTGAAATTCCCAGCCCTCCTGCCTCTGTCTTCTGAGGGTCTGGGGTTCTATGTGTGTGCCCCTGAGCCTGGCTAGTGATGCCACCCTTAATTCAAAGCTACCGTAACTTCAGGAGCTGTAATTTGATAATAATAATATTTTACTTCCATTTCCCCCGGTAATTTAGCTCACTTTTTTGTTGCTGTGGCTGAGAATTAAGGTTAGAACTGGCAGAGTCTGTATCTGTTTAGAGCGGGGAGGAAGGAACCCTAAAGCTCACAGTCCTGACTTTGAACAAGTTTTTTGCTTGGTCACTCCTTTGAATTGGCAATAGGGATGCGCCTGCTGCCCCCTTGTGGGAAACTGGCAGTACAACACCCTTAAGACCTACAGTTCTACAGGATTGGGAATTTAAGTTAGGGATTATGGGACATTGCCTAGAATTTTAGTGGCTGCCTCTATGCATTGATGGACCAGTTCGTGAAAGCAAAAATAGAGTTAAATAGAGACTTAGGAGGTGGTCAGTCTTGTCCGTTCCTCATATACAGGATAGATACATGAGTATTTGTTATATTGTTCTTTGCATTTTCCTGTTTTAAAAATGTTGAGATATATACATACATTTTATTTAAAATTTATATGTATACTCCATATTGAACAGGGCCGCACATTGAGCTGCACCCCTAGTGCTTTTATAATTATCCCCAACCCATGCCCAGTGCTGGGGATTGACCCAAAGTGTCTCTGTACCGAGCTGCCTCTTTGGCCCCATGTTTATGTTTGAGTCTCACTATGTTACGTTATGGGTCTCACTAACTTGCTGAATTGCTCAGTTTGAATTTATGACTCTCTGCCTCCGCCTCCCGTAGTGCTGGGATTACATGCGTGTGCCACCACACCCAGATCAATTTCATTTTTTATTTTTAGGCAGCATCTCACTAAATTGCCAAGTTTGTTCTCAAACTTTCAGTCTTCCTGCCTCAGCCTCCCAAGAAGGTGGGATCACAGATATGCACCACTGTGCCTGGTCCAGAACACACAGACTTTTAAAAATGTGTTAATCTGTTATCTCCCAGCTGTATCCCTGGATATTTTATGCTAGTTTTACATTCTCCAGTATCATTTATACTTGTGCACAATAAATCAAGACCCAATTTTTACATCCTGCCCCCCTCTCCCAGGTTAGAAGGGAACTAAGAATGAGGACTAACAGAAAGAGCCAGAAAAATACTTTCTTTTTCTTGCATAACGCTGAATGTTTTACTTGGTATTATTAAAATAAAACTGCTACATTAACACGTTCGATTTCTCTTTCCACTCAGTAATTCCCAGTGTTTCAGATTAATATTGTGAAACATCGTCCAGTGTGTGCGTGTGTCTTTCAGTGTTTGGAGGAGAGCTGTGACTTGTGGCACCACATACTAATGAGGCTTGTCTGCAGCCAGGAGGGCCTGGCCAGGCTGTGGTAGATGGATGTCGCCTAGCAGAAAGGCTGATAATGAGGCATGTGACGAGGGCTTCTCCTGCTGCAGGCATTAAACATCTTTTGGCTTGAGCGATGTTCCCAGTTTTCACAGTTTCAGCAATAGAGATATCAGGCGACAGAATAGAAGTAACTGAAGATTTGCATGTAAGATGCTGCATTTTGGCAGAAATAAGAATTGTGACGTGATGAGATTATCCTGAGGCCTTTGTAGGACCACTGTATTTTTCTGTCTACTTTGTATCATGGTGTTTGAGTTTTTTGCAGTGAAAATAACTGGGATTTCTCTTCCAAAGGACACTGAAGCCATGAAGAGAGCCCTGGCCTCCATAGACTCCAAACTGAACCAGGCTAAAGGTTGGCTTCGTGACCCCAGTGCCTCTCCAGGTAACCCTTTACTTCCTCTCCTAATCTGATACACTGCCGTAGCTTTTTGGAACACCCCACCCTTGGATAGTGCAGACTAACTGGAGCATTAGTGGGCCTTCAAAGGATGAAGGCATAGACCAGGTTGCCCATCCTGTCCTGGAAGCATAAACCGAGCTGAACCGGGCATTCTTTACCGTCTCCTGAATCAGAAGATAGTATTTTGAATGAAAGCTCTTCTCTGCTAGTGCCTATTGGGCAGACTTTCATTTATGTCAACAGAATACTTCATTAAGCAGATTAAATACTGATGTCAATAAGAACTGGAAAGCGAAGTTGACTGTACAAAGATAAGACCCAAGTAGGTTGTTAAGTTCGGCTTTATGGATTTCCTGATTTAGTGTTTATTCAGTCTTAGATTAACATTCGGCTGGATGTGAAAAGCCGAACAGAGGTGGAGTGTTAAGTACTGTTAAATTGTTGGAGCCTGTTTTCATCAGCCCTGTTCTTTTTTTTTTTTTTTTTTTTCCCTTTTTATTGGTACCAGGGATCGTACCCACGACTGCCTGCTTGCAAGGCAGGCACTTAATGCCGCTGAGCTAAATCCCCAGCCCCTATATAGGAGTTTGTTTTTTTTTTTTTCTTTTTTATCAGTACTGGGGATCGAACTCATGACCACTTGCTTGCAAGGCAGGTGCTTATGCCACTTAGCTAAATCCCCAGCCCCTATCAGCCCTGTTCTTAACTGCCTATGGTTTAGGGTATCTCTGAACCGATATGGTTCCAAGTACAGAAAACCCCCGGCTTGCGAACATTTGAGTTGCGAACTTTTACAGGTGTGCTGTGTGAGACTTACTTTGTCTGCTTACGACTAAGTGTCCTGGGATGGAACTTCTTGGAGAGTTTGGGACTTCTTAGTTTCTGAAACAGTTTGCAGCAGCATCTGTGGTCGAAACCTCCCGCTGTGGTTGTAAGGGCAGTGCTTGCTGTGAGCAATCAGATGACTGCCTTCATTCCCTTGTGTTCCTCTCATGAAAAATCATCCATTCCTTCATGAATGAAAAGACTGTTAGAGTATCTTCTCTACCTAGTAATGTGACTACAATGTAGATATCGAATGTCTCTATTTTAGGGGACGCCGGTGAGCAGGCCATCAGGCAGATCTTAGATGAAGCTGGAAAAGTTGGTGAGCTCTGTGCAGGCAAGGAATGCAGGGAGATCCTGGGGACGTGCAAAATGCTGGGGCAGATGACCGATCAGGTGGCTGACCTGCGAGCCAGGTAACGTTCCTCTGCTCCACTATGCAGCTTTATGATGATTATGATGTGATTTAGAGAGCTGGCCCATGGTGGTTTTACTGAGTTATCTTTGGATAATATATAATACAGGTATTATTATTATTCTGAGATGAATTTTACCTTTCCAGAATTTGTAAAATACACAGATGTTGGTGGGCATGGTGTTACATACTTATAATCCCAGCACTCGGGAGGCTGAGGCAGAAGGATCTGTGAGAGTTCAAGGCCAGCCTGGGCTATATAGTGAGACCCTCTCTCCCCAAAAACAAAAACAAAATCAAGCAAACAAAAAAAATCAGATGCTGAATAACAAAGTTGGGACTTATTCTATAATTGAAATAGAAATTTGCTTTTTTAATTTCTAGCGTAGACTTAGAACATTTGGGGCAGTGTGGAAGTCTGGCATAGATAGACGTCTTCTATACAGGGTGGGGAGAAAGGAGCACGGAAGAGAGAAAACTGTCTTTTAAAAAATTGTTTACACAGGTTAGTCGCTAAGATGGTAGTATCTGAACTCTTTTGAGTTTGTGTGTAATTCTTTTACCTTCCACTTACTCTTAAGTTTTAGTTTTGAAAACTCCTTCCATAAGTTAAGTAAATAGTATATAGTTTGCTATTGAGAACTATATTGAGTATAATATAGATCTATTTAGAATTCATGCATGGAGTTAATAAAGTTCTAAAAGATTCTCATTTTTTGGAATTTTATGATATGAATACAAAGAAAAATTGAAGTGTGTGGAGACACTAATATAGATAAAGTTTGATTTTGCTTTGAGTGTGTCATGAAACTTCTTGAGACCATTGGGATACACAGGGTATCTGTACAAATAGGGTCTCATGTAAGAAAACAGATCTTAAAAAGGAATGGCTTTTAAGACATTCATGACAGGGCTATAATCATATGTCTCATTGCCAGGGACTCTGAGCCACCAGTGTTAGCTGCATGCCCGTCCCATCGGGCAGCATGGAACAGTCACACTGGCTGGTACAAGCCACCTGATGGGACTGTCACGCATATACCACTGGTGGCTCAAGCTGGCAGGAACATATTAACCTCCTTTGTACCAAGATCACTTTTACAATTTGATGAAAGCATTCCCCATCACCTAAAAAAGATGCAGTGAAAATGCTCATGAAATCACAATATTTCAGGGGATTTGTGGGTCCAGCGTAGCCCTCCAAGCTGCAGGGCTGCAGGTTTTTGTCGTATCTTAAAGAAGAGATGAAATAGCTTAAATAAGTATGGTTTCATCGAGCTCAGTGAATCTTTCTGCTGCTGATACTCAGTCTCACTTGTCATGAGCATAAGAAGAACTGTGCAGAAGGGACAAAAAGAGGTTTGTTCCCATTTGGAGAAATGCCAATGCAGTTTTGACAAGAGTCTTGGCTCTTCTAATTTCTCTTTTCTGCCTCTGTTGTCAGAAACCTTTTCATAGTGTAGTTTTCACTTAGAATTCTCAAATACACAGTTGTGTGTGTTTAGAGAGATGCATGTGAACAGCAGAATGCAGTGGTGGTTGTATGGGATCGACCACTAATCTGTAAAGAGAAAAGCCTAGAGGGGCTGGGTACCGATAAAAAGGAAAAAGACAAAAAAAAAAAAAAAAAAAAAAGAGAGAGAGAGAGAAAAGGCTAGAACAGTGATGAGGAGCTTTGGGCTTGCTGCGCAGAGGAGACTTCAACACCCTTTCATAAGGGAAGATGGGAAAGCTACCGTTCTGTTGTCATTTCTTAGACAGACCAAACTATCTATCATTTCAGTGCTGACACACATTTTCCTCACTGTTGTTCTTCTAGTCGTGAAGAGATATGTTTTAATCTCTGTGAGACTCAATAAACCTTTTATTTTAAAGGTAGTCCATACATGTTTTACTTTTTCATTGTTGGACTTATATATCCAAACAATTCCTCATCACGATTTACTACAGTTGAGGGTAAAAAAACAAAACAAAACAAATTAAGTCATAAGTAGTGTGTTTTGTGAAAGTCTTCCTTCTTTTGGGGAAGGGGATACTGAGAGTTGAACTCAGGACCTTGTGCTTGCCAGGCAGATGCTACACCACTGAGCCATATCCCCAGCCCAGGTCTTCCCAGGACCACTGTCTCCAGTCTGACAGAAAAATGGTGTATTCATACCTTCTATATGTTTGACAATAAATTTATAGAGTTCATTATCTCAAATATTGTTATAGATGCAAAATAGATGGATTTTGAAAATGATACATAGAAGGGCTGGGGATTTAACTCAGCGGTAAAAAGCACCTGCTTTGCAAGCCTGTGGTCCTGAGTTCGATCCCTGGTACCGGTAAAAATACAAAAAAATCAAAAAAAAAAAAAAAAAAAAGAAAGAAAAAAGAAAATGATACATAGAGGCCAGGGATTTAGCTCAGGGGCACAGTACCTGCCTGGCAAGCATGAGGTCCTGAGTTTGACTCCCAGTGTCCTCTCCAAAAAAGATACACAAATGAGCGATAGGTTTATATAGATGTTTTGGGCTTTATTCTAAAGCTGGAAGCTCAGCTGGGCACGGTGGTGCACGCGTGTAACCCCAGCACTCAGGAGACTGATGCAAGAGGATTGCTACACAGTTCAAAGCCAGCCGGCACTACAGAGTGACACCCTGTCTCAAAACAAAACCAAGCAAGCCGGAAACTCAGATTATAATATGCCTGCCATTCTCTCAAATGAGAGGGCTGCCATTCCTGAGTTTTCCAAGCTGGATAGATTTTAAAAAAATCTGAATTTGTAAAAAGATGGCAACTTGTACTTCGTGATTTGAAAGCCCGCTAAGGAAAAGAAGATTCTCTCTCTCTCTCTCTCTCTCTCTCTCTCTCTCTCTCTCTCTCTCCCTCTCTCTCTCTTTCTCTTTTTCTTTTCAGAGAGGAAAACAGTGAAATTAGTTCTTTAGGAACTTGTTGGGAAACAATTTGTAGGTTCACTAGGGGTGGGGAATAGTCTTTAAGATTACCATTAGATTTTTATTGTAATAATGATGGTAATTCAGCGGTAGTAGTTTGTAATATCTGTATTGCTTTATTGCCAGTGTTTTCAAGTATATACTTGAAGCTTCTCTGTTAAAGAAGCAGGACAAATGCTACATTGTTGCCTACCTTCATTTTATAAGTTGTTTCTGTTGTGTAAGTAAGGAAAAAACCAAGAAACCTCTAGAAGAAAAAACTTAACCAAGGGGGTTAAGTATCCTGGAGAGAGTTGCATGAGTCCCAAAATTTAGTTTGTGAGCACAGATCTAATTGGTCTCAGTGCGGTATGTTTTCGGTGACACTGTGTGTGCTGCCTCGGGAAGAATTTTCAGTGTACACTCACCCATAAATAAGACAATTTAATGGGCTGCTTATTTCTAAAGCATACATTACTATGGTAACAGAGCCCTTCACAGCAGTAAGAGCCCAAGCACATTTGCCAACTGAAGTTTCGATTTGGTTATATAATCACCACCTAGAATAGACTAATTATCAAAATTTTCTGTCCTGACTTCGAAGTGGCTCTGTGTTTCTATAAAGTGAATGTATATTTTTAAAAGCAGAAGAGAAAGGAGATGGATTGGGTGTCTTGCTCAGCTGTGTTTCTGTGTGCTGAGATTACTGAGAAGAAGGAGACGAGCGTGTTGGCGACAGGCACCGTGGGGCTGGGAGTGTGATGGTAGGAAGTGTCGGGGAGGGTCCAGTGACAGCATCTGCTTGTCTGCGCAGGGGACAAGGAGCCTCTCCAGTGGCCATGCAGAAAGCCCAGCAGGTGTCCCAAGGTCTGGACGTGCTCACAGCCAAAGTGGAAAATGCAGCTCGCAAGCTAGAAGCCATGACAAACTCGAAGCAGAGCATTGCAAAGAAGATCGATGCTGCTCAGGTAGCAACAGTGATTTCCAGGGTTGGAAGGAAGAAAGTGCCCATAAATAGCCCGCACCCCATTATTCACTGTGGGAGGACAATGGGTGTTTCTAAGTGATGCTGATTGACTGGTTCCCTGCAATTAGGAGTGTTAACACCTCCTGCCATTACAGCTTTAGACTAATGCTCATCTATAGTTTGAAATTAAGGCCTTAATTTTGAATACTTCAATAAGTTAAAAACAAGCACCTGGAATACCAAGAGAATCCTCACTCCCAATATAGACTGTAGTACACTGAAACGGCCCCTTGTTTCAGAATTCACAACTGTATTTCAGCATAGCAGAGTTAAAGGGTTACATTCTTCTGATTGTACTGTATGTTAAATGATTTTAAAGCATTTCACAATCACAAATGTTTGAGACACTTGAAAAATATTCCTAATGCATGGTAGCACAAGCCTGGTAGCTAGCTACTTGGGAGGCTGAGGCAGGAAGTTTGCAACTTCAAGGCCAGCCTGGGCTCCTTAGTGAGATCTTGTCTTAAAATGAAATGCAATAAAAATAAAATGAAACGACATAGAAAGGGTTGGGGAATGTATTCAGTGGTAGAGTACTTGCTTAATGTGTGCGAGGCCTTGAGTTAAATCTCCCGTACCTCAAAAAGAAAGTTTCCGCATTAATTCGAAGATGAGATAGAGTTCATGAGTATATTTTAGTCTAATGGAAAGAAACCAGAATTAAAAGAAAGAAGAAAGAGGAAGGGCTGGGGGTGTGGTGTGGTTCAAGATTAGCATATATGAGGCCCAGGTTCCCACTCTAACATTAAAAAAAAGGTGAGGGGGGATGATTTGATCTTACCTAAGCTATGAACCTTAATAAAACACGAAGAATTAGCACTTTAAAAATGATTACTGGTGGCTGGGCATGGTGGCACATGCCTGTAATCCTAGCACTTGGGAGGCTGAGGCAGGAGGATCAAAAGTTTGAGACCAGCTTGGGCTACAAAGAGCTCAAGGCCAGTCTGAACTGTATAGTGAGACCCTGTCTCAAAAAATAAAAAAGGATTACTGGTGCCCCCGTGACTTTAGGGCGCAGATGAAGCTCAGCTGAATGTGGCCGATGAGCAGATCACAGGCAGCTCACTTCTGTGTGTAGAATTGGCTTGCAGATCCAAATGGAGGACCTGAAGGAGAAGACCAGATTCGAGGCGCTTTGACTGAAGCTCGGAAAATAGCAGAACTGTGTGATGACCCTAAAGAGAGAGATGACATTCTGCGTTCCCTTGGAGAAATATCTGCTCTGACTTCTAAATTAGCAGATCTGCGAAGACAGTATGTATTTAACTGTTTTAATTGCTCTTTAATACTTCCCCTTTCCTCCCCTCCTCCCCTCTCTTCTTATTTTCCTGAAGGAAAATACAGAATTGAATCTCTATAGTTGAATGTATGTAGGATATTTATGTTTTTATAATCTGGGGGGAAGGGTACAAGGTTTGAACTCATGACCTCATGCTTACCAGACAAGTGCTTGAACTGCTGAGCTAAACCCCTGACCCTGTTTTTATAATTTCTAAGCTAGGACTTTCTCTGCTATTTGTAGCATGTCTGTTCCAAGACATAGAAGGAAAATAATTTTGGTGACAGCTATGAAAAAACTCCTATGTTTGTATGTGGGAAGAGGCAAGGAGGTGAAGAGTAGTTTCTTCCTTCCCCAGCATTTTTTTTTCTTTTTTTTTTTGGAGACGGGGTCTCACTATGTACTTTAGGCTGCCCTCAAGCCCACTATGTAGCACAGCTTGGTTTTGAACCCCCGGCAATCCTCCTGCTTCAGCCTCCCGAGTGCTGGGATTGCAGGTGTGCGCCACCACACCTGGATAATGATATTTCTTAGGTAGCAGTTATAAAAGATTCTTCAATTACATTTCCTTGGTGATTGTTTCTGTAAAAACACCCTCACCGCAGCTTCCCTTCTGTTGTTGGCACCTGTTTTGAGTAGATGGAAAAGAGGTTGCTTTGTTCTGATAATAATCTAGGTCTTAAAGCAAAACAAAACTGCAATACCTGTTAAACACTGAGGGAGGGTCTAATATGAAAACTGGGTTACTTTCTGTTCCACCCCAGTCCTCCAGCCCCATTCTTGGAATAACCACAGTCAGATATCTTGAGACGTGCTGGTTTTCATTTAACCTGCGTGTTTCCTGTTCTTCCATGTGAGAACACCTAGTTCTCTTGCCTCCGAAAGATACGTTAGAGTTCTTCGAAGTCTTTTGTTGGCTAAGAGTGCGCTGCCAGATACTAAGGCGTCTTCTGCTGCGTACCATGCAGCATGGCAGCGTACTCGGCCGGAGGTTGTGGTTTCAGAGACCAGTGTGGGTAACAGCTTCAGTCTGATGTATGTCAGCATCAGTCATTTGGAGATCACTGTCATACCCAATTCTTCTATTATTTCAATGAGAAAATGTGTACTTTATCAGTTATAAAATATAATGGCCCGCATAGGAAGGCCTGCGTTTCCCCCTCCGTGTTCTCATTGATATATGGTGCAGAGAATAATTAATGGGAATGGTGATAACAGTAGACCTTCTCCTGTGGTCACTCGTGCTGTCATTACCTGGAGCACTGTAACGTTTGCGAAAACATGCTGTATGTCACCGCTTGGCAGCAGGAGCAGCTATGACCGGAATTCTTTGTGTGGCTCTATGATGCACAATGTTATAGAAACTGAAAATCACAAAGTAGTTCTTGAAAAAGAGTACCTAAATTAGTCATTCTGGCAGATGGGTTAATATTTTTAGTTTTGCAGATGAAACTGGTGAGATTAGTCAGAAGGTTACTTTTCTATGACTGAGTGGACTCGAGATATATATTGTTAAAGGTTAGAATTTGAAGTCATTGGAATAAAGTTTTGGGAGCAGTTATTGGCCTTTGTGAAACAGTTGCCCTGTTTCCTGTTGAATATTCTTGTTGAGGTTTTGGTTGCGGGGAACTAATCTGAATAAAAAGTGGGAGCTTAGGCACGGGTGGTGGAATATGCCTGTGACCCAGCACTCTGGAAAGCTAGGAAGGAAGATTGCAAGTTCGACCCCAGCATGGGCAACTAGTGAGATTGTGTTGGGAAAAATCAAAATGAAACAACCAGAACAAAAACAAAAAACGCTCAAGATAATAGTTTAGTGAGTCCCTAGATTAAATTCCCAGTACCAAGTGGGAAAATGTAGAGGCTTATTGAAAACGTGGAGGCATCTGATGGCAGCCAGCAGATGGGCTGTGGCCAGGTGATGTAGTGATGGAAGCCCTCCCTCCACACTTCTGCTTGTGATGTCCTCTGCCCGCTTCACTCTGGGCATTATTTAGAGGTGCTTCCTCTGACTTTGACTACAGTGGCCCAGGCTTACACACTTCCCAGCTCCAAGTCTTACCGTTGTTGGCCATGCAGTGTTTTTGAAGTGTAAATCAAGGATTACCTGGGAAGGTTGTTCAAAAATGAGGCCTTTGGTCCCCATCCTGGGCATATTTAGTCTGGATGATGGGTTAAACTGTATGTATGTTTTTTGAGACAGAGTCTCACTGTGTTGTAGTCCAGGGCAGGCTTTGAACTCACTATGGAGTCTAGGCTGGCCTTGAATTCATGGTGTTATAATTACAGGTCTGTACTACCATGCCCTGCAAACTACTGTATCTGAATTTAAAAATATTATCCCAGTTGCACTGTGAGACTCTGTCTCTAAAAAAAACCAAAAGACCTTAGGTGACTTTTATTTAGACTGTACTTTAAGAACCACCTAAATCTAGTCCTAAATCTAATGGAGTTCCTTTCCTGGCTGTAGTACATTGTCCTTGAATTAAATCACAACCCAGTTTGATCTGCTGTGGCAGAGATTGGGGATTGCATGATACCAACATAAGGGAACCCAGATACCACAGTAGCTTCAGAGTGAGCACCGTGAGAAGTTAGTGTTGGGTTTGAGCCCACCTCCACCAAAGTAAGGAATGAGATCTGGGGGCATTTGGCCTCAGGTTTTGTTTTGTTTTGTTTAATTAACACACACCCCCATTAAATAAGAAGGGTACTTGCAAAAAAATAAAAAGCCCAACTTGCAACATCACCTGGCAGAATTAGGGTTCAAAAAATGGGGCTGTTGTGTAGTTCTAGTATGACTACTTCTGCTAGGTGTATCTGGGTCAGAGGGAACCAGTGTTGCCGAGGACGGGAGGCTGGTTAACCAAATGCTTGAGCTCCACAGAACCGGGACTGACTCAAACTCCTCAGTTAATGTCTTAACTGAGACAACGCAATCTGAATGTAAACACTTTATTTCTTCTTAAAGAGCCAAATAAACAAAGCACTCCTTTCATACCAAGCTGATAATGATCATTAGCAGTTTATGATTTCATTAGCAGTGCAGTTATTTCAGCTAGTGTCCGTGTGTGACAGGATGGCTGTTTTTTTTCTCTGTAGGGGCAAAGGAGACTCCCCAGAGGCCCGAGCATTGGCCAAACAGGTGGCCACGGCCCTGCAGAACCTGCAAACCAAAACCAACAGGGCTGTGGCCAACAGCCGGCCTGCCAAAGCAGCTGTCCACCTTGAGGGCAAGATTGAGCAAGCACAGCGGTGGATTGATAATCCCACGGTGGATGACCGGGGCGTCGGTAAGGATGGGAGCGCTCGGCCTCATTAAGCCGGTCTCCTTGCAGACAAGCAAGTTGCTAATAGGGGTCCTGCAACATCTGTAAGGAGGTGGTGAAGGGCTCTTCAGCCACGGGTGAGAGCCAGCTTCCTGCTGGTGTGATTCTGTTTCCAAATGCACCCTGAAATTCCTCATGATCCAATCAAGAAGTATGAGAGAGTAAATGTTTTTGTCATGCACAGACAGAAAAATGCTCATGTCAGAATTGAAGCTTTGAGCTAATTGTTGGCAGTCCTAGTGTCCTTCTGTTCTCTAGTATTTGCATTTTTGCAGTCTTTGCCAAGGACCCAGCTAAATATAACTTTTAAAAATAGCAAAAGGTAGCCGGGTGTGGTGGTACATAGATGTCATCCCAGCTCTTGGGAGACTGAGGCAGGAGAATGGCTGCAAGTTCAAGGCCAGCCTGGGCGACATAGCAAGAACCTGTCTCAAGAAAAAAAAAAAAGGGCATCTAACTACTCACATTGCTTCGCTTGAGAAGGCTCAGTTTTATCAGTCAGTTTGAAGAATTAACCTAAAATTTTAGTCAGGTGTGGTGGTATGTGTCTCTAATCCCAGCTAGCTGAGAGGCTGAGGCAGGAGAATCACAAGTTGGAGACTAGCCTAAGCAAATGAGTGAGACCTTGTCTCAAAATAAAATAAAATACAACCTAAAATTTTTATTTTTGGGAGACATTAGGAATGGATTTGAAGAGGCCACTAAAAATTTGGGCCTGCTGAAGCTGATTTATTCCATTGCTGTATTTATTTGATAAAATGATAAAATTTTAAATTGGTGGCATTTGTATAGAGAGGAGGCTAGAGAATTGAGCTGATGTATAGCATACTGGTGAAGAAATAAACTGAGGCAAACTTTCTGAATTTAGTATTATATGTTAAGGCCTTTTAAAAAGTTCATACCCAGTGACTCTGCAATTTGAATTTTAGGAAATTTTTCTAAGTAGTTTCTTTCTAAGGAGTTATCGGAAGAATGTAGGTAAACAGTGGAAGTGTTCAATGAGTGGTGAAATAGTTATTGTTAGTATGATACATGCTTTCTTTTTCTTCCTCCTCTTCCTCTTTGCCTCTTCTACCCCGTTTTTTTCTTCTGTAGTGAAGATTGACCCCAGGGAGCACTGAGCTACATGCCCTTTTTATTTTGAGACAAAATCTTACTAAGTTGCCTAAGCTGACCTTGAACTCAAGATCCCCCTGCCTCAGCTTCCCCAATAGCTGAGATTAAAAATGTGGGCCACCACAAAAGGCTAAATCATGTTTTGTTTGTTAGTGTTTTCTGCAGTGCTGAGGACCAAATCGAGAGCCTCATTTATGCTAGGCGAGTGTTCTGCCAGTAAGCTATACTCTAACCCCTACGTCCACCTTTTTAAAATATATTTTAGTGAAGTGGAAAAATACCTGAAAAAGAATGGAGGGATACTAGTTTGGCTGGGGGTAGAGCACTTCCTTTCCATGCACAAGATCTGGGTTCCAACCAGGCAACACAGACTCACACATGCACAAAGAGAGGCAGGAAGGGAAGATTGGTGAGTGTAGAGAGAGGCTCAGTGGTGACACGCTTGCCTAGCACGCTCCAGGACAGGACAGTAGTAATGAGGTACAGTTTATTGAGTGTTGGCGATACTGTTCTGTATTCTTTTCTCAGGGAACCCCGTCCCACTGCTAAATGTTAAAAAAAAAAAAAAAAAAAAAAACCCGGTTATTAGGATGGCGTTGAAGCTGTCTTCTCAGGGTTTGTGAGTTGTGGTGTTGTCTTCTTGCTGTAGGTCAGGCTGCCATCCGGGGACTTGTGGCCGAAGGGCATCGTCTGGCCAATGTCATGATGGGGCCTTATCGCCAAGATCTTCTTGCCAAGTGTGACCTCGTGGACCAGCTCACGGCGCAGCTGGCCGACCTGGCCGCCCGAGGGGAAGGGGAGAGTCCTCAGGCCAGAGCCCTGGCATCACAGCTCCAAGACTCCTTAAAGGTAGGACTCGGGATTGCTCAGCACTCTGATTTTTATGCTTATCATTTTGCGAATGACAGATGGAAGGGAGAAGTTTTACAAGTAGATAGTTTCTTGGGTTTTAAGAAAATAAAAAATGTGACTAAGGAAATGCAAAATTTATTAGGAAAAAACTTAGCAGTGTATAGTAGCAACTGAAGTGGTATTTTCCAAATTTCATTCAGTCAAGAGCTCTTTCATGATATTTGCTCTATGTTTCGTTTGTGCTTTTATTTAGCCAGTATTTTTCTTAAAATATCTATTCTTAAAATATCTTCTTTTAAAACTTATTTAAAGGAAAACTTTGTGATAATTATAAAATCATGAGTTTGATAAGCTAGGAGTATTTTTCCTAATATTTAAAAAAAGTAACATATACTTAATAAAATCACTTGTCTGTGTAGTAATAACCTAAACAACAGGTGTTTAGTATACCAGTATACGCCTCCCACCTTGAGAAACAGTGAAGGTGTCGGAGATTTCTTTGCATAAATCCAGAAGATTTAATTTGTATTATGTAGTATAGCTACGAAAAAAAGAACTTCTAAGAATCTTTTTTTTATAGACTCATGCTAAGAAATCAGTGTATATACTGGCTCTAAGTACTTATATTGGCTATTGGGTGTTTCTAGCAACTTAATTCTCATTCTTGATTTCTTTGCTAAGATTGAGAATTGCTAAGAAATGTGGCACTGGACCCAAACAGGTACTGTGGCCACCATCAGGTCTCTCCAACAATGGAAATAGCGAGGAGCCCTATCTCAGGGCCTTCTTATGGCCTATCTCATGGCTCAGCCCCATGATTCTTGGTGTCATTTCCTAGAGGCCCCTAAAAAAGGAGGCAAATTTCCTCAGTTGGCTAGAATGATCTCCAGGGATGTGAGGGTCATGCCTTACCCTTGCTGTCAGACACTAGTGCCCCAGAGGCCAGGATTCATGACCGAGTCCTGTGCTCACACAGTGTTCTGTACACAGCTTCCACCCAGTGAAACTGAATGAATGAATGAATGTGCCAGCGAGCACATATACTTTTGAGATGTTGGTGGGAATTTTTATTTGTAAACATTATTTTTAAGGACCTGAAGTCCCGGATGCAGGAGGCTATGACTCAGGAGGTGTCAGATGTTTTCAGTGATACCACAACTCCCATCAAGCTATTGGCGGTGGCAGCCACGGCGCCCCCTGATGCACCCAATAGGGAAGAGGTTGGTATCTAAGGTCTTCCCGTCTTCTTCTGGCCAGCCTCATACATATATTTGTGTAAGTACTGCATGCTAACTGATTGCACCACTGGAGCTCCAGTGTACGTATATTTGCAAAGGTAAACTGTGGGTACAGCTGACATCAGCGGCAGTGGTTGGGAAGCTGTGGGTAAAAGGTGGAAGGACAGAAGTGGCGAGGGTCTTTCAGCCCACCAGCTGTAACGGTTATGCATATCTTCAGTTAGTTGTAAGCAATAGAAAACTGTCAGAGATGAAAGCAAACGGGGTTTATTTTTATCACGTCAAGAAACATGGAAGTAGATGGCTCTGCTGTTGTTGCAGAGCTAAAAAGCACGAATGCTGGCATATCTATGATTTTCTTGGTCGTTTCCTTGTGATAGGGGTTGGCTCTTGCCCCCATATGGTGTTCAAGGAAGGAAGAAATAAGGGATGGGGACTGTAGGCACAGCTGCCAGTTTTAGTAGGGCACTTTGTTCACAGCGCGTCAGGACAGTCCTTTAAAGCTACGCGATGTCACTCTTCGTCACCTGTCCACTGACTCCTCCTGTCCCACAGTGAAGCCAGAGCTCTCACTCTGCAGGACACCAGTGAAACCCAGAGTTATAATGCTACTGTTTTCCTGTGATTTAAATAACACCAGGAGTGGCTGTTTCATGCAAAGTGGCTGGAAGCAGAGCTGGGAAAACAGGGCCATATTCGAGTCATGGAAGCCCTTGTGGTCAGAAAAAGTGGCTTTGGCACATCGCCCAGTCTGGTCCTGTCTCCTTCCCTGACCTCACGCTGTTGCTTAGTCTTTCCCTTTTGCTCCTCTGCACTGACCTTATCTCCATAGCCTCGTTTTCTCCTTGCATTTGTCAACACTTGACATGTTTACCTTGCTCTTTGCTTGTCAGTCTCCCTCCCATTAGCATGCCAGCTCCTCGTGGGCAGAAAGATTGGTCGCTCCATTTCCAGTTCCTAGAACAGTGCCTGGCACGCCATTGGTGCTGACTGAAAAAAAGTCAAGGCTTTCCAGAAATCCTCCAGGAGACTTTACCTATGTATGTCTCATTGACTGAAACTCCATCACATGGCTGCCTCAGCTGCAAAAAAATCTGGGGAAGGCTGTGTTTAGTTTCCAGCCTATAGTACGGCAGCAAAGGAGAAGGCGTTTGGGTCAGGCACCTGAGATAGTGTGGAGTTTCTGGGGAAGGTTTGTGTTGTTTTTGTTAGTGACCACTGTTTGCTTCCTTTTAGGCTAGGATGATTTTCTACTTTTTCATTCTTGTCTCCTCTGAGTTTCAGATCAGTAGATCTGCTTGCTGGTCCTTTACAGCTGGATGCTTCAGAGGTGCCTCAGCATATGCTGGCTGTCTCCTGTTCTGCCTTGGAATGTGTGTGTCGGCATAGACTTTGCCACTCATCTTCACATGCCAACGAGTAACTCGGGCATAATTTTTTCTTTTTGTCTTTTTCGTTTTTATCGGTACCAGGGATCGAACTCACGACTGCCTGCTTGCAAGGCAGGCACTTATGCCGCTGAGCTAAATCCCCAGTCCCTAACTCGGGCATATTAATTTGATCTGACAAATACTTCCTGAGTTCTTTCCATTTTCCATTGATGCTTCCACAGCTCTAATTATCACTCCCCCCCCAGTACTGGGGTTTGATCAAAGGCCTTTACCTTGAGCTACATTCCCAGCCCTTTTTATTCATTTAGTTTTGAGACAGGTTCTAAGTTACTAAGTTGCCCAAGCCGTGATCTTCCTGTATCATTTCTGTCTATCTATCTACTTATCTTCTTTTCCATCAAAATCCTTTTGGATAGGTTAAGTTCCTTTCCTTTTGTCCCCTAATGTCAGTGTGCAGCGCTATTATTGTACATAGAGCACCGTATTGTAAATATCTCTGAATACCCTCCCACCTCGCAAGCTCCTTGAGGTGCTAAAATCGCGTCTTCTTTATCTTTGTGTCTTCAGCCTGTGCCCCAGAGTTGGGCACATAGTAGGGGGTGATTAGTCAGTCAGTTTTGGTTGAGTGCCAAGAAAAGCATGCTAAGCAGTCAGTTAGACCTGGGGAGTAGCAGACATGGTTCGGGTCCAGATGGCAGGGAAGGTGGGCAAAGGTAGAGCGTGGGAGAGCAGCTAGGATGAAAAGGAACTGAGGTCAGGAGAAGGGGCTAGTGGATCAGGGATTTTAGGCAGAAGTTCTGAGCATTAAGTGACAGGAGCCCAGGAAGCTGAATCCAAACAAGAGGCCAGAATGGGAAGGGGACTTGACTGGACAGTCTCAGGACACTGGCTGTGAGACTGGAGCTTGCTTCAAATCAGAAAACTTTGAGAGGCTGTCTGCGAGGGTCAGAAGCAGACACCATGACAGCCAGGCGGACCCTGAGACAGACAGAACAGGAGGGTGCGCTCGGCCACACCGTTCCTGACCCCCTTGAGCATAGCGTAAACTTGCCCAGTGCTCCCGGGATACATTGCCTTTCAGGTATCAATTCTGACATTATTCAAGCAAATGATGGGAAAGCTTTTCTCATTTTAAATAAGTTACATGGTCTTCTTCATGATGACACAAGCTTGCTGCATTGAAGGAAAAGTTAACCTTTTAAAATTTGAGAGAGCTGAATAAACCATGAAGTAGATGGTCTCCTGCGGGTTACTACTAGTTCGCAGCCTTCCCCTGAGGCAGGCCCCAGTGTGAACACAGGTGTGCTTTCCCCGCGGAGGTCAAGGGCAGGGTTTCTACAACATTAATGGTAACGGGATACTTGAGGGCTACTGTTCTAGGGCGGCCAGAGTTCAGGTGAGGACTCCTGGTGGATGTTCTGGGCTTGAACTGTCCCCAGCCCTTGGTAGTAGAGGCTCGAGCGGGTTTCTCTTCTTCCAACTAGAAGAGGGACTTTAGGAATGGGGATTTAGGCTTCAGATGAACTCCTTGTTGCAGGGTACCTAGTGCTGCATGTCCTGCTTGCACTTGGTAAGTAGAGCCGACTGAAATTAACGAATCAACCAAATGCGTGTGAGGGTGTGCATGTGAGCGTGTGTGTAATACATGAGTCTTACGGGTGCGCTGCTGAGGAAGTACATCAAGGCCAAGACTTGGCATTTGCCTGTTTTAGCAATGGGGTTTGATGTCATTGCTGAAGTCTTTGAGAAGCTGCTTCAGTCTACCTAGAGAGACTTTGTTTTATGCTGCTTAACCCAGTTTATTGAATTTTCTTACGCCTTTGTTCTTCTGAAAGGTGTTCGATGAAAGGGCAGCGAACTTTGAAAACCATTCCGGAAGGCTGGGGGCCACGGCGGAGAAGGCGGCTGCCGTGGGAACTGCTAATAAAGCCACCGTGGAAGGCATTCAGGCGTCGGTGAAGACTGCCCGGGAGCTCACGCCCCAGGTGAGTTCTGCTCGTTCTTCCGTCAGTTCTCACCGCTCGGTACTCAGCAAAGCTTGTTCCTTACAGGAAATCGCCTGTACAGTTTGAACTTACTACAAGTCATATTTAAAAAAGCTTATATCAATAGTATTAAGCTTAGTGATTTCTGGAGTATTGGGATTACACTTTTAACTTTATACATTTTTATATTATTTGAATTTTTTTTTTAAACACTGGCCATATGTTAATTTTAAGAGTAGAAAAATTAGTAAAGCACCTTCCTGCCCAGCACACATACATACCTAGGAGAATATTTGGGTGACCAGAGTTTTACGTCTTTCCTTTTGCATCTCTGTGAGGGGATTAAAAACATCAACTGTTTCCATAGCTGGTTTTCTTTTTTCTCTTTAATTGCATAAACAAGGCACATAACTAGATAACCAAGTATAGATAGTAAGTGTGGGAGTAAAAGAAGGTGGGGCACACTGGGGCTATAGCTCAGAGGCATAAGAGCCTGCCTAGCAAGTGCAAGGTCGTGAGTTCAATCCCTGGCTTAAAAACAAACATAGGGAACAAAAGAACACAAGATGAGTAACAATTAAAATTCTAACTGCTGATAGATTTTTCTTAAAAGTATCAGCTTATCCTCTTTTATTATATTTGTGAATTTTTTCTTCCATTCAGATTATAGAAAATGTTTTTCATTTACTTATTCAACAAATATTTATTAAGTACCTGTAATATTTTGGGAACTCTGGTAAGCTTTATAAATCTGCGATACTTCGTGGGAACTTGGAAGAGACCGTGGAAATAAGTAGTCTCATTACTGGGTCAGCTTTTACCTTTTGGCATGTTAACAAATTACGTTCTCTCTCGCTGTCTCATTCTGTCTGTGTCCCTCACTGAGGATCAAGCTAAGAGTTTTACTCATGCTAGGCAATATTTTATCACTGGGGTACATCCCAGCTCAATTATATGTTCTTCAAAGGTCACACTCATCCAGCTTCTAAAAAAATTTTTAGAAAATACGAACATTTTCAACTTCAAATTTTGGGAGCTAGGTGTGGTGGTACATGACTGTAATCCCAGCCCTTGGGAGGCTGAGGCAGGAGATTTGCCCTGAGTTAAGGTCAACCTAGACTACATAGGGAGATGCTGTCTCAAACAAACAAAAAATGTTGGTAAAACACAGGACATGAAACATAGAACTTCAATATAAAATTGAGATTCCTTTAAAAAAAAAGCAGTCAACAGAAAACTAAAGCTTAAGATGCTAATTTTGGAAAGAACTGGGACTTTCAAGACAACTGGAATACTCTGTGGACTTTTTTTCCCTAGTACTGGGGACTGAAACCAGGGCCTTCATATTCCTAGCCCAATTTTTCTTTTTTGAGACAGCCTGTCTCTGAGTTGCCCAAGTTGAGCTCCAATTTGAGATCCTCTTGCTTCAGCCTCCCAGAATGCTGGGGTTATGAATATTGTGCCACCACATTCAGCTCCTCTGTGAACCTGAGGCTTAGTTTTCTCCTCTGTAACATGGAGCTGATTTCTTTCCTAATGGATTTTCTCGAGGACTAAGCATATGTGTGTACATCCGGTATTTGACAAGAAACTCAGAAAATATTACTATCTTCTTGTCCAAGTACTACCACTGACTACTTGGGACCTCTTGAGCAAGTCACATATTCTAGATGTCTTGGATTTTGCATTTGCAAAGTGGAGATATTACCTGTCTTCTCTTTCATAATGCAGGATTGTTGTAAGCATTACAAAAGGTAATATGAAAAGCACTCAGACAGGTACATTATTTATAATCAGGCATGAGTAATTTTCATGGTTTATTTTTTTATTTTTTTAAGGGGGTGATGGTACTGGGGATTAAACTCCAGGACCTTTGGTTTGGTTTGCAGTGAGCTACATCTCTGGCCCTTTTTAAATTTTGAGACAGAGTCTTGCTAGGTTGTCCAGGCTGGGCTCAACCTTGCAATCTGCCTGCCTCAGTCTCTCAGAGCGCTGGGGTTACAGGCATGTACTGCTATGCCAGCTTTTAATTTTCTTAATGCCTTTTAAGATAAAAGAGCTGATGTCAGTTTTGTTGTATGTTCTTCTGAAGTACCAAATAAACACTTATTGACTTGAACACTTTGTTAGCTTCTTAAAATCTGTCCAGTCTGGGTGAGGTGGTGCATGCCTGTAATCCAGCACCCTGGGAGGCAGGAATTCTGCAAGGTTGAGCCCAGCCTGGGCAATTTAGTGAGACCTTGGATAAACAGATGGAGAGACAGATAGGGTAGGGATGTAGTTTAGTGGGAAGGCCTTGGGTTTAATCCCCAGCATCTTCCACATTCCCCTAAAAAACTCAGACCATAGGGGCTGGGCATGTAGTTTCACAGCAGACATTTGCCTGGTGTTCACAAGCTCCAGGATTTGATCGTCAACACCGCGAACAGAGAATAAAATCAGGTCACTGCCTGTAAAACCTTTGTGAAACCTGCCCACTGCCAATGCTGGGAAGCTATTTGAAACCAAACCTAATGTGTTCAGCCTGCAGGGAGATCTGTGGATTTTTGGCTTTATGCTGCCATCTGTAGGTAGAGAAGAGAAATTGTCACTGCAGGTTTGTATTTTCCGCGTGAAGGTACTGGAGTGTTTAAAGGTTGTTTTATCGTTGCCAGGTGGTTTCAGCTGCTCGCATTTTACTTCGGAACCCTGGAAATCAAGCTGCTTATGAACATTTTGAAACCATGAAGAATCAGTGGATTGACAATGTTGAAAAAATGACAGGTAGAGTTTTGTGTGCAGTTCTTGTTGTCTGCTCGGTGGGGAATGTGCCCCGAGAAACCCAAGCAGCACTGGTTATGTTACTCAGCTGTAACTGGATAAAGGGGCGGTCATGTGCTCAGCAGTGTACCTGGCCCTGATTAACACTGCTGAGCAGTGGCGGCGTCTCATTCAAGCCTTGCAACTTTGTCCAGAGAGACACTGGGTTTCTTTTCTTTTACTGCTGCCCTCCCAGTGTGATGTTTATTGTTGTAGCTCCTATTTTCTCTTTGAATGGTGTCTTTGCCCAGTCTGAGCCAGAGTTTGGTTTCAGGCTGGGAGGTGGTGTTTTGGATACAGTAAGTGTCCCTGTCATTTTCAGTAGGTTCACATTTCAAGGAACCACAATAGCTACCATTTAATACAGCTTGTTTCAGAGTTTCCTCCAACTTATCAACTATGTACTTGTTTTTTTTTTTTTTTTAAAGAAGCCAACCACCAACAAACCTGTGTCTGTGAGACTGAAGTAGTGTGCTTCTGAAGCTTCTTTCTCTGTGTTGAGAGAGAGAGGAGAAAAGGGAAGAGATGAGGTGTGTAGGCTCTCCGTTGTCCCTGCAGAACCTGCTGTGCAGCAGGGGTCTGTAGCAGCCAGAGATGAAAGCGGAGCTGCTGAAGTGGCTGAAGAGAGGTAACAGAAATAAGAAACAGGCTGTTAGGGTCATTGGAATCTTCCGCGTGGCTCATCTTGGGCACTGCAAGCTGCCAATAATCAACAGATGGCTAGGCAGTGAGACGGGAAGGGAGAGAATGTTAACAGGTGATGTGGTGAAGGTTTCAGACGCAATCCTTGCTTTCTCCTGATGGCTTTGCATTTCTGATTGTCTATGGTGCATACAAGACCAGTGACCACAGTCGGTGACTCCATAAGACCGGGGCTTTGTCTTCAATTTTTTTTTCCTCTCTCTGGTGTTTACCTGGAAGCTTTTGATTGTGTAGGAAGAATTTCAAGCAAGAAGAGAATTCCAAGTGATGTACTTTCTCATGAGAAGTGAATGGACAACAGTGTTTGGAGTCCTGTTCTTCTAAAATAGAAACTAAATTCTTTCTTTTTTTTTTTCCTTCTGACAGGGCTGGTGGACGAAGCCATTGATACCAGGTCTCTGTTGGATGCTTCTGAAGAAGCAATTAAAAAAGACCTGGACAAGTGTAAGGTAGCCATGGCCAACATTCAGCCTCAGATGCTGGTTGCTGGGGCAACCAGCATTGCTCGTCGGGCCAACCGGATCCTACTGGTGGCTAAGAGGGAAGTGGAGAACTCCGAAGATCCTAAGTTCCGTGAGGCTGTGAAAGCTGCCTCTGATGAACTGAGCAAAACGATCTCCCCAATGGTGATGGATGCAAAGGCTGTGGCCGGAAACATTTCTGACCCTGGTAAGCGGTGATACGTGGTGTGGTTCACCTCAACTGAAAGGCTACCTGGGGAAAGGTGATGAGAGTACGTGAACCTGACAGCTACCACATACAAAGTTTGGCAGCGGAAACTGTAGATACTTAGAGAGTCCTAGCTTAATGGTTATCCACAGCTACAGTGCTGGAAGGCTCCTGGAGCTCTGGGTCAGCTCTTCTGTGCTTTCTTAATGTTATTTGGGCAGAGTTCCTAGGCCTTTTCAGTCATCATTTTGGAAATTTCTTAAAAGATTCATGATAACCAATTTACAAATCATTTAACTTATGTAATGGGTGGTCTTCTAACTTTTCTCATGCTTTTTTCTTTTCATGTCTTTTCTCTATAAAGTATTTTCTATTTCTGGCAAATCTGGAGGACTTTTTAACTCTGGATCTCTCTGACCCCACACTAAAAGAATCCAGTTTTTTTAAAGCTGGATTTTAATCATGTTTTCAATGCCACTAAAATGGAGCCACTCCTTTTGTTACAATGATCCAAATTTTTTCCTGTTTTGAACACTGGCTCGGTCTGTCTAATCTTGTCTATGAGTAGAAATCAGTGAGAGAGCGGGAAGGAGGGGCTGCCCTATTCATCCCTGGCCAGGCAGAACCTTTCTAATAGTCCACTATCACTAAAACATGCTTGGTTTTCTAATGTTTTGAGTAGATTCCTGAATTCCTGATGACTAAACACAGCATGTAAGGGTTAACCTGCTGAATGCCAAGTAGAGCGAAGAAGTAGGGAGAAAGATGAGAGGTGCTTCAGGGAATGTGTGCCCTCGTCTGACACCGATGCCTCCCAGGTTCTGCAGGAGAGACTGATCTGCCTCTTTCCAAGGGGTGATGGGCGAGCTCAGCAAGCTCACGCCAGAAACCTCCTAAGCACTTGTTGTGCAGCCGGAAGGTGCCCTGAATATCGCAGCAGCAGCTTGTCTGTGACCCTTCCTACTCTGCAAGCTGCAGGGCATCTGAGTTGTCCTGCCTTCTGTCCCCTCAGCCATTGCCTGTGATGCTTACTGGCACCTTCACATCCAGCTTTTGTCAATGGAAACCAGTTTGTTTGCTGCGCGGACAGTGCTTTGCTTTGGGGCACTGACCTGCCCGGCTGAAAGTGAGTGTCTTGTATTTAGGCCTGCAAAAGAGCTTCCTGGACTCAGGATACCGGATCCTAGGAGCCGTGGCCAAGGTCAGAGAAGCCTTCCAACCTCAGGAACCTGACTTCCCGCCTCCTCCACCAGACCTTGAACAGCTCCGTGTAAGTAAATTCAGAGAGCTGGGAGAATTTAGGCTCTAGAAAGAAAGAGGTAGGTTGTGCTTTCAGTGCATAAAGAACCAGGTGCCTGGAAGTGTCGTTGGAGGCAGATACTTGATTTTCCTTCCCGAGTCTAGTGCAGTCACACCCAGGTTCTGGTGTACAGCTTGGAGGGTATCTGTGGGACTGGTCTGCTGTGAAGGGCATCCCTGGAGCGGAGGAGCTGGCTTTGGTAAGTGCAGATGAGGTAATGAGTGCTGGTAAAATAATTTGCACAGCTTCTGGTAAGGACATTGTATGTGTTCCCAGTTCTCAGTTAAAACAGAGGTGGTATCTAGTGTAGGGTTTTCCTTTTTTGTTTTTTCCTTTCTAGTAACAAAAGTAATACATTAAGTTTGTTTTTATTCAACTTTTAAAATCTTTTGATCCCCTCACCCATCAATGAGACTGTGAATTATTTTTTCATGGTTTAGGAGGAAGCTAGCTTGGCCTATCTTGTAGATACAAATTCTACAAACAGAAATAGCAATTATATTTAGGTTTTTACTCCAACTAACAGTATTAGAAATACCTTGATATTAGAAGTAGCTTATCAAGGCAACAGTTTATTTTCTCATTTAATGGTAATAAAAGACATTAAGTTGGTCAAGGACAAAATTGGGTCCTTGGGTACATAGTTAAGAATTGGTGCTTCCCCAGTCCCTAAAGCATGACACACACACACACACACCCACCACCACCAGTTGGTGTCTCAGTGGACAGTTCGAACCACAGGGATGGTTTCTTATATCATCAATAGAAGCAGGACTTTAGAGGTCATTTGACAGATGAGGTAGCTGAGACCTAATGGAAAGTTGTTTGCTTTTTGGGTGCCCTCTGGTCGACTCCAAACCTGAATTCACCTCCGGTTTAGGGATTGTCTTTGGGAATCCTTGATCTTGTAGTGCTGTGTGTACCTCCCTGGATATGACCAACATTACTACTGGCTTTTTGTGGAGAAAGAAATATACTTCTGTTGCGAGCGCAGCAGATGGTCGTTGGAGCTCAGTGTGGGTGGCCTTATATGTTGTCGATGTGGGTGGCTTTCCTAGAAATGGTTTTTAGAGGGAGCGGAAAAATTCTAGGAGGGAGTTCTTCAGGCTTACTTACAACCTGCTTATTCTTTTCTTAGCTAACAGATGAGCTTGCTCCTCCCAAACCACCTCTGCCTGAGGGTGAGGTCCCTCCACCCAGGCCTCCCCCTCCTGAGGAGAAGGATGAAGAATTCCCTGAGCAGAAAGCCGGGGAGGTGATTAACCAGCCAATGATGATGGCTGCCAGGCAGCTCCACGATGAAGCTCGCAAATGGTCCAGCAAGGTAAGTAATGAGGCTTTTCTTGTTGAGAATTGGTGTTTCCTCTTCTTAGAAAGGATGACAAACTGCACATATCCAGGAAGAAGCTTCTGTTTGGAGTAACCCTCTCTCTCGGCTTTGCTTCCTGTGTTGCCAGTAGTGTGATCCTCCTCTGACCTGGGAGTTAATGAGATGTTTCTGGTTTGTCCTTACAACCAAAAGCAAGAACTGAGCTCTGTGTGATTTGAAAAGTTCTTTTCTTCTTTGTTCCATTAGAATGTTGGCCACCTGGAGGCTGGACAGTGGGGGTCTTTTAGAAGTTGCTTATCATTCTTTGGACTGCTGAAAGTTTATTTTTAGTTAATTAATTTTGGGTTTTTTTTGAGACAGGGTTTCACTGTGTAGTTCAGGCCGGCCTTGAACTCACTATATATAGCCCAGGTTGGCCTTGAACTCTTAGTGATCTTCCTGCCTCAGCCTCTTGAGTGCTGGGATTACAGGCATGCGCCACTGTGCCTGGCTTGCTGAATGTTTTTAGGTGTTTCATTGCTAACTGTCAGAACTCTGTTGATGAAACTTGTGGGCTTGGCTACAGCTAGATGTAATGTCTGCAGTTTTTTTTTCCTGTTTTTCATTAGAAGCAGGTAGATTGGTGTCTTTGAAGCCATGTGCTTTATCTGTTCTCAGAATCAATTTGCCTCTCACTTGATACAGCTCCAGACTAACTCTAACTCAGCAAATCTGAAAGGGTAAATGTTAGTGTGCTAGATAAAAATGTGGATGCTCTGACAGTCATAGCTCATGAGTAGCTTTTATCTGTATTTCCCCAGTGAAGAAAAGTTGAGTGGTAGCTTTTCTAGATAAGAGCAAGATATTATTGCTAACCTTGCAATGAAATGTAGCTGTTACTTAGTTCTAACCTGTTGCTAATACAGTAATAGATCTTTATTTCCACCCTCTCTTCACCTTTATTCTTTTCTTATCCAGAATGCCTTTAGGCTCTTGGATTGAACGTAGCTCCCCAAGAACTATCTGTACCTGCAGCCAGTCTTGGATTAATTTTTTTCCATGCTGGGAAATTGGCCTTTTTTTAAAAAAAAATTTTGGGTTTTGACTTTGGTTTTTAACCCTGTGTTTTTCCAAACTGTTAGCTGTAAGCCCAGGTTCTAAGAAGGAATGCCGATCTTGCTGGTGCTAGACCTGAGTTATGGAATTATTTATAATACTGTCTCTTCAAATGGGACACACATACCCTTGGGACCTGTGCATGTGGAGTGTGTGAAAGCAGAGGTGACAGTGATATTTGCTTTTACTCACAGGAAATTTAAATTTCATTACAGTAAACCCAGATACATTTGTGCAGTGGAACACAAAATATACATGTTATAAAGATGAACCTTAAAGGAAACCGACAATATTGGCCTACATATTTACTCTTCTGCAATTGTGGCCAGAAGTCTTTGCCTGAAGGGATGTGCTGAGTTTGAGTTACATGATGCCAGGAGCTACTTGAACAGTGTGCAGATGGGGGAAGGAATATGTGTTTGCATCTGTCAACCTGTGTGTCTTTGTGTATCTTGTCACTCTGAATCCTAGCAGCAGTGGGCTCTTCTCTAGGATTGGGGATAAGTCTTGGTTGAGGAACAGGTTAGGTAAAAGGACTTAGATGGTACTTGCTGGCCTTGGCTACTCTAGCTGTCATCCTGAGACAATGTTTGTGTTTCAGGAGTGGTAACAAACTCAAAGTTTCATGTAAACTCCTACTTCCTCTTGGTTATGGATGCTTGATATAAGGAACCTATGTTGATCATTCTTTATGTAAGTGGTTTGGATTCACTGAGGCAGTTCCTTTTGTTTTCTTTGTATTCAGCCTATTTTCAGCACCTAGTCTCTTACCTCCTTCTCTGCCCTTTCATAATGCCCACGTCTGGTACTAAACTCATGTTCTTTCCCTCATGGTTCCTTGTCTCTCTAACACGCCCATTTTGGGCTCCTCTGAGTTTTATCCTCAGAGTTTTATGAGTTTTATCCTCAGTTGTCTTTCAGGTCCATACATCAGTCAGTCTGTGAACTAGATGAGTTGTTCGAAGTGAGAGAGAACCAATTCTGCAACAGAAGAAAGACTGAAGGTGTACTGAAGAATAAGCTTGAATAAGCTTTTTGATTGGTATTAGCAATGGGTACAATAAGATAGTGGAAACATTGTCTGTGAAGACTTTGAGGACAGAGAGAGAGCTGGTCTGATGTGTAGCTTTCCCTGGGATAGGGGGGTGCACGTGGTATCTTCTTGAGGCTCCTTATTACTGGGTAATTGCCAGGTACTTGATGAATCCTCTTCATCTCCCATTGTTTTGGTTTTCCTGTCTCTCCTCTGGTTTCCTGTATGTTGCCTTCAATATATCATCTTTATGTCTTTTTCTTTTTTAATTCTTAAAAGAAATAATCAGTGTTTGGCAGCTGCAAAGCAGACTTGTCACTTCCAGTGTCCCAAAACAATGTAGCAATGACCCATTTATATGATCTATCAGATATTCACTTTGTTCTAGTCAAAGCAACTTCTTTGGTTGCATTTACTTTCCCCCTCTGGATCCCTTTAATTAACTATTAATTTGCTTGTTTGACTCCTCAAAAATGTTCTAACATGAGAATTATTCTTGTTGAGTTTAGTTTTGGAATGAAGGGCATAAAAATGAATGCCACGTGTTTTCTCGATATGAGCATTTCCTTGGGAAACCTTTGCTAAGTGGAGCAGGTCCCTTTACTTCATTTCTCACAGGGTGGCTTGGACTGAGTGGTGCTAGAGTCTGGGTTCCCCTTCTGTGGACCTTGGTTCATCTGACTCCTGTGTTGTTTTCCAACTCAGGCAAGCTTTGGTTACTAAACCAACTGAAGCTCAATTTCCCAAGCCCTACTTACTAACACTGTCCCTGTTTCTCATCCTTCTTGCCATCGACAAAGCCGGGTATCCCAGCCGCTGAGGTGGGTATAGGAGTTGTAGCTGAGGCAGATGCGGCCGATGCTGTTGGGTTCCCTGTCCCCTCTGACATGGAAGACGATTACGAACCTGAGCTGCTGTTAATGCCATCCAATCAGCCGGTCAACCAGCCCATTCTGGCCGCGGCTCAGTCCTTGCATCGGGAAGCTACCAAGTGGTCTAGTAAGGTACTGACTAGCAACCCCAGTTGGGGGCTGCTCCCAATGCATCCGGCCATGTGCAGCCTTGACACATTGCATCACTCATGATCTGTGCGGGTCCTGTGAGTCTGAGCAGGGCGGGCGTCTGTCTGTCTGCACCTTGTTGTTAGACTGGCTTCACATGTTTGATAGGTCTGCTAATGCTAGATTAATTGGGTTGCGTTTATGTTTGAGGGATGAAGAGAAATGGGGTCCCTTTTTGAACAGATTCCTTTTACCAACATTGCGGCCACTGTTGGAACTTTTTCTTGGAAAGCTGTGGCTGCTTCTCACTGACTTCTAGGTCAGGAGCCATGGTAGACTATTAAGAGGTCCATTGGCCTGATCACTGAGCTTTTCCTGGTCTCCACTGACCTCTCGCTGATGGCTCCGACTGATCGATGGGGTGAGAAACGGCTTCAGATCGTAGGGTCTCTGGGGAGGACTGCTTGCTGCCTGCACTTGGCTGTGTGGCAGATACTGGCCATGGGGATGGGCTTCACCAACTGCTTGTTCGGGTGTCTGGGGGAGGGGTGGCAGTGGAAAACCCAGTGCTCATGGCCATAGTACAGGCAGCAGCAGAGCCTTGGCCTTGGGGACTGAACTGATGCTAGTCTGGGGAGAAGTGGGTGGAAATGATCACTTTTTGTCCTTTTGAAGGTGGCATGTTGCAAGAGTGATGGGTAATAACTAAGCTTGTGGCAGTATGCTGTCTTCTAACCAAAGCCATGACATCCCTAGTGATCCCAGCTCCACATGGGAAGAGGGCTTTATTGAACACACCCCTTACCTCGGAGCTTGTTCCTATACCTGTGCTCCCTGCAGCCCTCAGTGCATTGCTGAGACCTCACACCTTCCAGCATAAACACTCCATCGCCACCTCCTGGTGCCTGTGGAGTGCCCTGTGGCAGCGTGGCTTGGGTACGCCTCACTGTACTGGATAGAAACTGCCAAGCATGAGGGGAAAAATGAGTGGGAACTGGCCTTTTAGGTAGTCTTAAACATTGCAGTTGCTGAAATTTTAGGTTACTATGGTCGTAAAATAGATTACTCATATGTATATTTCTATATTATGATCCATAAGGGTTTTGGTGAACTATGGAGCAATCTAAGATAAACTGCCATTAGAGCAGAAGTTCTGTTTACAGCCTGACTCATAATTTTAATTTTTCTCATTCCTCCCTGCCATCCTTAGCTGAAGGTTCCTCTAATAACTGGGAGGTCGCACTTAGCTGAGGGGACTGTAGAATTGATTCGTGACCTTTTTACATGTGAAAAATTAAAATAACATATTCTTTCAGGCTGACAGGACAAGCAAGAGGCAGTAGAGGGAGGGCTGGTGTAGTTAGGTAAGAAACTGTTCCTTCTCCCTTTCCTTTTCTTACTAAGGCTAAGAATAGTTTCTTGAGGGTTTAAATTCCAGAGTCCTTGGCTGCTTTTTGCAGCAAGGATAAGGATGAGGAGGATTTCAGCATCTGGAATGGCTCCTCTAGGGCCAGCCCTACCGCTTTTCCCCAGGATAGCAGTGAAAATGCCTGTTTAACGATCCCACAGCCCTTTCATTGACACAATTAACCCGGAGCCGCTGAAGTGCTTGATGAGTGTGGTGTTTGGAGCGCACGCTACCGTTGCAGAGTCATCTTCAGGTCTTCCTTTTCTTCAGTCAGGAGATTCTCTGTCTCTTTCTTTCTCAGTGAGTGCTGGGTGAGTGCCCTGCCTCATTCCTTTTATTTTTCCATTGCTGTCCCTCAAGAACAGTCCTTTAACCTTCTTCTCACTCTTTCAGAGACTGCTAGAGCAGCAGGCTTTTCTCTTCTTTCTGTGTCCTTCCTTCATGTGGCCAGAGTGTGGGCACAGCTCACTCCATCTTTTTGTTTCTCTCCAGGGCAATGACATCATTGCAGCAGCCAAGCGCATGGCTCTGCTGATGGCTGAGATGTCTCGGCTGGTGAGAGGAGGCAGTGGCACCAAGCGGGCCCTCATCCAGTGTGCCAAGGATATCGCGAAGGCCTCAGATGAAGTGACTCGACTGGCCAAGGAGGTTGCCAAGCAGTGCACAGATAAGCGGATTAGAACCAACCTCTTGCAGGTATGGTACTTGGAAAAAGGCCGTGAGTGAGAGTGAGGAGGGTGCGGGGGAGGGAGGAGAGAGATTGAGTGGGAGAGATCTGAGAGAGAAAAGCAGCAGAGGAGCAACTGGATAAGAGGGGAGGAACAGGCAGTCCAAGGGGGGAAAATAGCAGAAGACATATTGGGAAAAGATGGACCCAAAGTTGACATTTTAATCCTATGAAAAACTCTGAAGGCTTCCATTTCTGGACAAAGGGGCTATACTGACCTGAGGAATAAACAAGTATATTTGTGCTGCCGATCTACGAGTGCTTTTTGCTTGCCAGCCCCTGGCAGTAGAGGGCGGATGTCCTGCCCTCAAGGAGCCTGCAGGCATGGACGCACTAACATAAACTTGCTCTTTAGGTGTGTGAGCGAATCCCAACTATAAGCACCCAGCTCAAGATCCTGTCTACAGTGAAGGCCACCATGCTGGGCCGGACCAACATCAGCGATGAGGAGTCTGAGCAGGTATGTGTGTGTCTGCTGCGTTGGATTTCTTGCCAGCAGCTTCTGTACTGTTTAATTCAGTTTTGAGGATGTTTTATCTCTTGGGTCAAGTGTTGAGTATGATGGGTGGGCTCAAGAATCTCACTGTAGGAGAGTCTGTGTGGGAGAGACACATCAGAAACTTGGGACCAGGGGCTGGAGATTTAGCTTAGCGGCATAAGCGCCTGCCTTACAAGCAGGCAGTCGTGAGTTCGATCCCTGGTACCGGTAAAAATGAAAAAGACAAAAAAAAAAAAAAAAAGAAAGAAACTTGGGACCAGAGGGGAAGTTCTTATGCAACTTGCATCATTTTACAAAGGACGCTGAGGTGCAGGGAGGTTAGGTGTCTGAATGGCATGGCTCTCTGGAATCTACTCGGTTCTCTTCTTGCCTGGAATAGGTTTGAATTCTCTTGAGCCTCCAGTGCCTCTTCACTTGCTCTTTTTGGCTGTTGAGAAAGCCTGCTTCCTGAGTGAGTTTCAGCCTCAAGGAGACAACTAGTACAGGGAGTTCAGGGACAAAAGGTGGGGCCTGTGCTCAAAGTGCAATGGCTGTCCAAGCTGCTGCCTGTGATTTTCTTCGAGTTTCTGACAGAGGTAGAATTAAAGATGGTGGAAGGGTCTCTTATGTGATGCCTCTTGCGTGTCCTTTAGCAACCACTTCTTTCTTAAGAGTTTTCCTTCTTTCTCTCCCTCCTGGAATTGTGGCCCAGGTCTTTCAGAAAATCCTCATGACCACTCCTGCCTGTCATATCTTCCTGTCCCGTGGTAGGCTTTCCTGGTAAAGAGTTCATCTTTGTTGACTGCCCAGATAAGACTTGGATAGATAAGGAGTACGTGTGAGGCACTGTATTAGGGACTACACAGGTTAAGAAAATAATGGACACAATTCCTCCCCTTGAAGAACTCAAATAAAATGGGGGGCTGTTTCTGCTCTGTAAACCAGGAGACAGAGGTCAGGGGCACTGTGGAGGAAACGTTATTCTTGGTGCCATCTCTGCAGCTTCTGTCTTAGTCTCATCCAATAGCTCTCACCTGACCTCTTCTCCCAAGCTATGGGAACTGGCATTGCTAACTGCCACGCATTCTAAGACTTTGGGTACTGGGCTGCCTTCCTGCCGTGTGGTCTCTTCTGCCTAAAACTGGGAAAAATGGGAAAGAAAGGAAAATACTCAGAGGCTCAGGCCTAATCATGTAGTTAACCAATAGAAATGCAGCTTGGGAATATATACTATGTTTCACTAAATAAAGGTAGAAATTGGTATGTGAAAGAATGGAACAGACATAGGACTGCAAATCAGTTGGGTTTGTTTTTGAGACAGGATCTTGCCATGTGGTCCAGACAGCTGTTGTAGTTGCTGTGTAGCACAGACTAGCCTCAAACTTGGGGCTATCCCCTTCTTAGCCTATTGAGTGCTGAGATTACAGATGTGTGCCACCGTGTCTGGCTTTAGTTGGAAGTCGTAAGTATTGATAAAACAAAAACAATCCCAACCAAACAAAGAATTACTGAGTTGTTAAAGAACCATTAACTTCTAAGACTTCTTATGAGCAGAATACTAACATGATTCTAATCCTTTAAGTTTGTGTGTTTGGAAGACTAATTTAGATTGCCAACATTTATAAGGTAGTAAGTTAGATGACAGATTTATAGGGCAGTTGGTTGCTTGGTATGTTTCTTTTTTTTCATTAATATTTATAAAATGTTTACTCTGTGGCAGGCACTGTCTTAAACACTGTGAAACAACAGTGAACAAAGCTGACAAAAATTTTTGTCCTTGTAGAATAGAGACAGATAAACCAACAAAAAAGCCCTCTAAACAATCTAAGTAAAACATACAGTACATCAATTAGTGATGACGGATGGGTACAGCAGTGCACAGCTATAATCCCAGCACTCAGGAGGCTGAGGCAGGAAGACTGCCACCAGTTTTAGGCCAACCCAGGCTACAAAGTGAGATCCTATCTCAAAAAACCAAAACACCTTGCAAGCAGGCAGTCCTGAGTTCGATCCCGGTACCGATAAAAAAAAGGAAAAAGACAAAAGAATTAGTGATGATGAAGTCTATGGAGAAAAATGAAGAACCAGAGATGAGTAATGCTGGGAGTTGGAAAAGTAGTTTGTGGGCTGGGGATTTAGCTCAGCAGCGTAAGCGCCTACCTTGTAAGCAGGCAGTCGTGAGTTCGATCCCTGGTACCGATAAAAACGAAAAAGACAAAAAAACAAAACAAAACAAGAAAAGTAATTTGTGATTTATAATATATGAAAGGCGATAGTTAAACAAAGATCTGAAGGACAGACACAATAGGGAAGCTTAGGGTCCCTGGGGGAAAATATTTCAGATAAAGCGAAAGTCCTAAAGGAAGAAGACATCTCAATATCAGAAAAGAGTATACACAGAGGGCACGGTACACAGTCAGCTATGGTCTAGTTCTGGGTGCTTTTGGTGCTAAAAGCTCACCAGTAATGTGAGCAAACATAGAGGCTGCAGGTGAAAGTGGGGTTAACCAGAGTCGGCTCCTGGTTTAACTCTGCTTTAGAGACAGGACTTTAACTCAGGGACTGTAGTAACCGGGGTTCTTCTTTACTGACAGGCTACAGAGATGCTGGTTCACAATGCTCAGAACCTCATGCAGTCTGTAAAGGAAACTGTGCGAGAGGCAGAAGCTGCTTCAATCAAAATTCGAACAGATGCTGGATTTACCCTGCGCTGGGTCAGAAAGACTCCTTGGTACCAGTAGGCACCTAGCACACCTCCTGCTGGTCCAGAAACCCCTACTGAAGAGAAGGAGAACAATCTGAGTTCCACGAGCAACTCAGGCGTGTCGGGGTTTGAAAGCTACATCCTGGCCTCACGGATCAGGAAGGAGTGAGGGCCTCTTCAAAACATTTATATTCTTTTGTCATGGACACTTTGAAATGTATCTTCATATAAACCCTGTATTCTTGAACACGGTTATACTCATGCACACTCTATCCCAATAGGAGGACTGGGTCTCTTCTAGCCATGGATTTCACATAAGCTCAGAATCCAAGTGTGAACACTAGCCAGACACCTTGCTCTGCCCTTTGCTAGGGAACACTGCCCTCCCTGCCTCCCTTTCACTGGCCCCCATGCCCCTCTTCAGGCTCCCAAGACCCAGGGCCCAAGCAAGTCAGTTAAGAAAAATCACTGTGCCTCCACAAATTGTTTTGGGCTTCCCTTATTGCTGCTGAGCCTGCCTTCCCTGGGCTATTGTGCTACCTGGCCCCTTTTCAGAAGTAAACTTTGCTGCTGCAGAGAGAGTCTTTGAGGAATCCCAGCCCGTTTCTTGCCCTTCCCAATTTTATTTTTCTGGTTTTCAATAGTATGAAACCAAATTCACTGTCGGGAAGAAATCACAGAACTACATGGTTCTATCTTTATGATGATCCCAGTGTCTGTCCTAGGGAAGCCTCCCATCCCAAGTTCTCACAGGTAACCATCCCTCAAACACACTGTATGTTCTGGTGCTCTCTGCCACTGGAGGGGCAGAGTAGCCTGGGGGTGGCCCTGTCTGCACTCCTAGTAGGGCTACGCCCAGGCGGTCTATATTTTGTCACTGCCTGCAGAGATCTATGTGGAGGCCTTATCATTCGTTCTTAGCTCCTATTTGTTCTTTCTGAGCTGAAATGCTGCATTTAATTTTTAACCAGATCATGTCTCCTGGCTTTTGTAGTCTTCTATCTTTCCTAAACAAGATTTTAAAGGTATGTAGGTGTGTGTTTGTCTGTAATTTTTTATTTTGAAATGGGGTTTCTTCTAGTGCCCAGATTGGTCTTGAACTAGAGCAAGCGATCATTATATCTTAGCTTCCCAGGAGCTGGGACTAGAGGTGCTCCATGGTACCTGGCTTCATCTGTAACTTTGAAAGATCCTTCTCATTGTTTTGAAATTCAGTCTTGAGAATTACTGCTTTCCACCTAAGAGTATTTAATGGAAAGGGCATACTGTCTTGAAGGATACTTAAGGGAGAGGGGTATCTGCAGAATAATTTTGGGTGCTGCTGGGGATAAATTGATGGGAAGTACTCCTCCTAATTTCTACCTCCTTTCCACCACACATACATAATCAAGCTCCTGTATCCTCTCGTAAATATAACTGATTAAGAGAGTAATAAGTATATTTAACCATTGCCACGGAAAGTTTCCTATTAAAGCAAAGTGAGAAGGCAACTTTTTCTATTTTTTGCATTTCTCACTGCTGTTTAAGCATTCCCCAGTATATGAAACTGTTTCCTCACAAACCCAGAAGTAGATGAGGAAAGGAGTAAGACCCCTTGTCTGAATGTCCTTCCTTCTCACCCTCAATGTGTGTTAAGATCCCAACATCAAACGATAAACTTGTCTTAAATTGGTCCTGTACACTCAGGCTTCCTATATTTCTTTTTAACTGATGAAAGATTATTTTCAAGGCCCTCACCTTAGCATATTTGTATAGTTGCTTACCTGATATACATGCAATATTAATGCCTTTAAACTATGAATCTATGCCAAAGATCAAGTTTTGTTTTACTAAAGATTACTTCAAGAAATAAGAAAAGTCATATTTGCTTTCTAAGTTTCCCCAGTGTTTTGGACACTGGTTTACACTTTATGCCAGATGCTTTTCTCTACTAGCAATGAAAGACACAGTAAAGAATTCAATAAAAAAATTTTTAAAATCCCTGAATGATTTGAGATATTACCACTAAAAACAAACATTTATAAGCTAGGATTTGTTACATGCAAATATTTTCTGCCTCTTTTGTTCTGTTTAAAATAAAATGCATTTGTATAAATAATGCTCTAAATGATGGATATATTATTTTAGAAAAAAACTTAGGTGAGGGTTTTGGAAGAAGTAAAAATCAACAGTATGTAAAGTATCTTTACTTTACAAAGATCTGGGTGATAAGGATAACTCTGGGGATTACACACTCGGAGGAGTGGGAATGGTGAGGGTGACAGCAGGCAGAAAGCAGCCAGATGATGCAGATCACCCCTGGATGAAACAGTCTTTTGTCTTAGAAGATTCTGGCTATTAGTGGTGACCATCACTGTCCCCTAAAAAGCTGAACTTGTTGAACAACACAGCATTAGCACAGGCTCATTTCTTTGTATTGTAAAACCTAGCACAGAATAGTAGCAAGGCTGCCTGGGGCCCCACCAGGGCTTTGAGGTAGGCAGCTAACCTGTGGGGATGTACTTGTGCTTGAGGAAGCTCTAAAAGAGAGGAGCGAGATGGATTTGGATAGAGTAGTTTTGGGTACAGCTATCTTTGCCTGGTCTTCTAGATCTGAAATCATTAGTGATATTTAGTGTTGATGACTGCTTTAACCAAAAAGTTTCCAACCACAGAGGCAGATCCCATCCGCTTGGATTCAAAGGAAATGTCCAAGGCTGCTGAAGTAGCTGAGCAATCCCTAACACTGTCTCAGTTTTGCTGCTCACCACACGTTTCCTGGCGCTACCTTCCTGCTGCATTATAGTTGATTATTTTGAAAAATGAGATACCTCTAAGGACAGTAAGACCAGCATATTCCAAAAGTTCTTCTGTAGCACCATTCAAGGAATGAACCTAGCACATGAATACCTTTTGAACAAAATGATGGGGATGTCTTCATAGGGATAATAAGCATCTATTTTATTTGTTGTTAGAGTTGCTTAAGAATTTAAAAAAAACTATTCTTGAATTAGCTAGAACTCAGTGCTTAAAAATATTCTAATTTCACTGAGTATTCACAAGATATACTGGTGGTAGTTAAGGAAGGTAGCTTTTATCACCTCTCGTAAGTCTGTAACCAGGAGGGTGATGCTTAAGAGTATAAAGGGAGGTGAACACGTGACATTTAGGAGAGGAGCACTTTGAAGTGCCTTGCAGCAATGTTCACACCTTGTGTGATGATACAGACGAAAATCTGACCATGTTCAGCTTTCTACTACACTAAGCCTTGCCCATCTAAGAACACTGCAATCAACAGTTAAAAAAGAAAAGCCAACTTGTTGCTTTCATCTTTTTATTGACAATATAGCCAGAGCCAGAGAGAGGATTCATTAGATTCTACCGAATTAATAAATATAATAATTTAATTGTAAAAGAAATAGCCTACTTGGATGTGTTAGAAATTGCTAGAAGCAAAGGGCTCTTGGCATACATTCTACTTGGATGTAAGAAAAAATAGCATAGGAGGAAGACTGGACAGCAGATACAAATGACTAACATTAGAGATTCTACAGAAAGAAAAGCAGTTTTTTTTGGACAAGGTCTCATAATGCAATTTAGGCTAGCTTTGAACTCATTATGTAGCTCAGGTTGGCCTCAGACTTGTGGCTCAATATTCCTGCCTCAACTTCCAAAGTGCAGAACCATGCCCAGCTAAAAAGCAATGTTTTGATTGTGATTAAGACAAGAACTCTACTGAGTAAGGTATTAAAATTAGTAAATGCAGATGAACTAGACAATCTTAGGTTCAGGGATTAAATATTTGGCAACATTTTAATTTTAGCTACCAATTTGAGATTAGTTACTATAGAGATCAGTAAACTGCAAGTGATCTTTTATTTTTGTTTTTATGAAGGCTTGCTATGTAGCCCAGGATAGCCTCAAACTTTAGGTCCTTCTGACTCAGCCTCCCAAGTGTTGTGATGCACTCATGTGCCAGGAACAGTTACTCTTAGCAGATAAATAGCAAATGAAGGCAGCTTGAATACCCAAGGCAAACAAAAGTAAGAATGCTAAAAAGTGGATGCACCTACCACTAATAACTGGATGAGTCTAAGAGGTACCTTTAGTATGGTAAGGGGCAAGAAAGTGAGAAGCTGAGAAGAATGAAAGAAGAATGGAACAATTAAAACTAACAGTTTAAGAACAAGAAACAGGAACCGTAGGCGCCTAGATTATAACCCTCAGTCTTCCTCCATTTCTTTATGCCACATAAGGTAAAGTAGCTGGTAAGGACTACCAAGCCAATGAACTGAGGGAAAGATTCTACTATATAGGCATGATGATCAATATGGTATCGTAAATGTTGCTTAAATTCTGCCTTAACTTAATGCTTTTCCATGTACCTGTCAGGATGGTGGAGACATTCAAGTACTGCAGTAAACAGTTTTGACAACAGTTTCAGAAAGAAATCTGTTACTACAGCTTTGATATGCACACATAATATGAAACAGAGTTCTCCCTAAGGAAAAGGGATTCAGGCAAATTCAATCTTTTAAGAACAACAACAAAAAAAGATTAAAAAATTGAAAACAGAAGGAGTCATGACAGGGAGGCAGACAGTTTCCTTCTTTTGTGAGCTGGGACATGAGACAGGCTGACTAGTGCTGTGGGATAAAGCATTACAAAACATGAAGATGGCTAAGGTTTCTCTTTTTACTATTTTAATTTGCTTAAAAGCACAACAGTTGTGCTTGCAGTAACTTCCTAAAAGCAGAAGTGTTCCCTTTTATTACCTTTATAAAGCATTTGCCCCTTTGATACAAATGATTTTTACTGTGCTATCTAACAGCTGAAGTGGTGGCACGAACTTGAGATGGCATTTACTGCAGCAAGTTTCTTGTAAATCAAAATCTGAGCTTTTACATAAAAATCTTATTTATAAAAAATACAATACCAAGTACAGTGAGGATGGAGCATGGAGCAGCGGTGCTCCCTGCCAGGGCCGTATGGAGTGGCTTTTGCTACAGTGCTTGCTTAATGGCATAAGTGAAAAGCTGAATAAGGCAAACACTTGAAGAGGCAGTTTCTGTAAACTTCTTGGGTAGGGGAATTTCCTTTTAGGACGGTACTGTTGGGACGGCTAAGATCAGAAGGTAATGACATTTGGCTGCACCTGACACATAACAGATTACGACTTGCTCCTGCTGGATGAGCCCAGTTGGCTTGCTTTAGGAGACAGGTTACCGTTGTGGCCTTCGGCCTTTACAGTGTGCAGCATCCAGCAGGTACCCCCCATGGAAGAAATCAGTTCCAAAATCTTCCTAAATGAAAAGATATAAAATAAGCTAAGTCATTAGAAAAGTTTTCTTAGCTTAAAGTTCCTTAAGAACTTTACTAAGCAACCTCTGTTAGTGGTGTGTAACTAGACACATATGCTTTAAGGAGAATATATATTCCCACCCACTTGGTACCTAATAGTAATAAATTGTAATGACACTTGGAAAACAAACGGATCTTGAGGAATTTTGGCCTCTTCTCATGTCCTCACTTGGAACTTTCCAGCTTTTGTGACATATTTGACTCCTTTAAATGGCTTATATTTCTCCCCATACATGTCCAAACGGTTTACTTTCAAGCCTGTGTCAAAAAGAATGAAACAAATTATTATTTTGATGAGAATACAGTATCTGTCGTAAATGTGACACTGACCAGTGTTTCTTCTACCACTCGTGAATTATTACACTGTGGGGTATGATTTTAATTCAGGTGTCCATGTGGGCAAAGCATGTTAAGACTAATTCTACTTTCTGTGAATAGGAATGACTCCTTTTTGGAGTCATTTAAATGAAGGTGGGAATAAGAGATGCTGTGTGAAATACGGTGTCCTGGCCCCATGGAACTGTGTAAAAGGCAAACTGGACCTGCTACTCTTTTGGAGCAGAAATGGCTGTTTTACTTTTCTAATACAGCATAGTAAAACTCAATTACCCTTGGACCCAGGCCAATTTATCCTTACCTGAAATAGCAAGTTGCTGGATCTTGAACTGTATGTTGAGGCTTGGATTTTCTTCTGGTTTAGGTGCTCCAGACTGCAAATTTACCAGTCCTTTAAGACTTGGGAGTTTTTGTGGAGTAATTTTCCCTACATCCCATGTTAGTATCTTAAAAAGACACAAAAACAAAACCAATCTAAATCATTTGTTAAAGACAAATACTCAAAAGATAAGGTTCAAAGACAACATAAATTTCCACACAAAAAGCAGTGTCTTGCAAACAAGAGACCTGGTATCCACAAAGATTTTACCATTAATTAGCTCTGGGACTCTGGGTGGGGGGAGTAACAATGGACAATGAGACTTTATTTTTGAATACAGCACTTAAGCTTAACCAATTCAATGTTACTTCATAGAAGCCTGAAGTAGATTTTGTCTTCTATTTACACTTAAGGAAATTAAGGCTCAAAGAGATCACATGACTTGCTTAAGGTCACACAGGTTACAGGAAAAGGTAGGATTTGAACCCAAGGCTACATGACTGCAAACTGAAATACTCCCATTACCTTACCTTTATGACTCTACTGCTGTTTCCTGCAAAATGGGAGTATGACCCCACACACCTCACTGAGCTACATCTATCCATTTTAGTTTTTTATTTATTTATTGTCTTTTTTCATCGGTACTGGGGATCGAACTCACGACTGCCTGCTTGCAAGGCAGGTGCTTATGCCGCTGAGCTAAATCCCCAGCACCCTTCATTTTAGTTTTTAAGACAAGGTATCACTAAGTTGACCACTCTGGGGTACGTTTTGCAATCCTCCTATCTCAGCCTCTCAGGGTGCTAGGATTGTAAATGTGTTGTACCGCATCCCCCTTTTTGGGGGAGTCTTGCTGTTTTTTTTCAGCCTGACCACAAACTCACTATGTAGACCAAACTGGCCTTAAACTTATTAGCCTATGCTGGACTCGCACTTGTAATCCTCCTGCTTCAGCTCCCAAGTCCTGGGATTACAGGAGTGCACTGTCATACCTGACTTTTTATGATGGTATTTTTAAACCTTTAGGTGTGGAATCCTTTGTTCAAAAGGAATCATTTTTTTGGGTGGAAGCTCAATAGAGGAAGGAAATTATAACTGAAACAATTATAAATGAAGCAATTATATTACAGCTAGGATAGAAGGCTCAGAGATCTGCAACTTCCTCTGCTTGGTCTTTTGTGGCCTCTAGGAAGGTTCTTTGAATTCTTAAGGAACCATCTTAGATGATTTTTAACATTCTATGACTTTAAAAATATGCCTTTTTGTCAAGCAGTTCAATGATTCTGCTGTTGAAAACAACCATTTATTTTATTCAAGCAGGAAGCTAAGAGAAAATCATCTTTTACAATTCTCTGAAAACTCTCTTCTAGAAGCATGTCTAACAGTAAGGAAGCAGCTTTCCTAGGCATTATCCTGAGTGGAAGAGTGTGAAATAATTTTTTTTAAGTTAAAACAAAACCAAAAAAATCTTGGTCTTAGTGGTCAATTTCTATTGAAAACTTAAATTATATTTTCTTATAATCACATAATATTTTTTCTCTTTAAAGGGATTTGTCTTCTTTTTCCATTAACAAAGTAAGCCTGTGGATAATCAGTGGATGAGTACTGTGCACTGTGAAAGAGGACAGCAAGCATCTGTCTTCATCTGCTTAGTAGCAGATACAGAATTCCTTCCAAAGCTGGCGACAAAATGGCAGTGTGCTCTCTAGGGCTCACTGGAATTTTACTTTTAAATAAGACACCAAGCCCCCCCCCCCCCATCCCCAGTCACAAAACAGATTGCAGAAACACTTGCTCACTCTTGATTTGAAGTGGCTGTACCTTGGTGACTGGATCAAATGTATAGCTGCCTTGTGTTGGTGTCAGGTTCATATTCAGCACAACTTTAGGCATGTGAACCGTCACTGTAATGCCTTCAATAGTTTTTCCCATATTCTGCTTTGGTCCAATTGTTATATCAAATCTGCCACAAGAACTGTTCTCCTTAAAGCTGATACTATGTTTTACATATACTGGTATTGCCACAAGACTAAAAAAGACAGAAAAATGCAAAAGCACACAGATATACAATTAATTCATATAGGATAGCTCCAGAGGTGGCCTCAAAGGCTTAGTCCAGGTTATCAGACCCAGGCTCCAATTCCACAGCAGGGAGCTGTGCCTTAGAACTGCAGACTCAGCATCAATACCCAGGGGCAGGGTGGGGAGCACAGCACAAGACTCTGTAACAATGTGCTAGGAACTAAATGAAGTATACAAACCAAGACAAACCTTAAAAGATTAATTGTAGTACAAGCAATTGGGGAAAATGTCTCTAGTTTTTAAAAAATGAATAAAATCTCACTGAAAACTAACTTAAAATTAAATATTCTAGGGGCTGGAGATTTAGCTCAATGGTACAAGTGCCTGCCTGGCAAGCATGTGGTCATAAATTTGACCCCTGATACCAAAAAAAAGCAAAAGAATTAAGTATACTATAAATGTACTAAAATGGTTCCTGTGAAGTCAGGCATGGTGGCACATGCTTGTAATCCCAATACTAGGGAGGCTGAGGCAGGAGGACTGCTGTGAGTTTAAGGCCAGCCTGGGCTATATAGTGAGATCCTGTCTCAAAAACAAAAACCAAATCAAAACGAAACAAAAAATAAAAAATTCCCTATAAGAGCCAAGAAATAATTCCTATTGAGTTTTTCTTTCTTTTGGGGTATGATACTGGGGAGTGAAATCAGGGTCTTCACACTGAGCTATACCCCTGGCCCTTTTTATTATTTTGAGACAAAGTCTCATCAAGTTGCTCAGGTGGGCTCAAATTTGTGATCCTCCTGCATTAGCCTCCCACAGTGCTGGGATTATAGGTGTGCACCACCACGTCCAGCTAAGTCTTTGGTGGGTGGGGGGTTCTGCTTGGTAAGCACATGCTAAGCAAGAATTCTATCACTGTGCTACCTCTCCAGCCCCTGCTTTCTGGCAGGGCCAAATTACCTACAACCTATAATGCTAATGTATTCCTTTAAAACTCAACGTAGAGAGTGATGGGAGTGGGTGAGTATGTTGGGGAAATTCTCTCTCATTCTGCACAGAGGCACACAGGCTACATATCATGGAAAATTATAACTGTACAATTTTGCCCAGTTTATAATGCTTGTTCTTGGTGATAGGTTACATTATCATCTATATGCTTAGAGTCAAGCTACACTGATTATTTTAGGCAGATATTTTCTCCAGTTCTCAGTCTCCAGATGAGCCGTGGTTGAACAATGAACTCAAGTACCAAACTGTCAGAGTGCAACAGAGAAAGGTAAGTTCTATTCAGCACACTGATAAATGATGACAGATTCTAGTAGATATATCACCGTACTTTTGTGAGCTGACACGGTATGAAATGAGACGGAAATTTCCATCTGGAGGAATAAATGACAAAACTCTTTCAGATTCCCAACGCTTGAACCGGATGCAAGGATGGAAGCTGACATCATCTAGAAGCCTTGGATTCTGCCAGAAAAACAGAAGACAGTTATTTTCAGAGTATAATGAATATGACCATGCTACTCAGATATAAGAAATTAATATGGTCCCTGAAGAAAAAAAAGAGTTGGGGCTGGAGATTTAGCTCAGCGGCATAAGCGCCTGCCTTGCAAACAGGCAGTCGTGAATTCGATCCCTGGTACTGATAAAAATGAAAAAGACAAAAAAAAAGAAAAAGTTAATTACAGTTTTAGTATGCTTTAGTTTGTAGATTTTTATATTTTACATTATTTTATTTGATATTTTGTAACTATGAGGAAGAAAAACCAAGTAGTACTAATATCCACTTCACAGATGATAAAACACGTTCAAAGAACCTAAAGTCAGGAGAAACTCATGTGACAGAGACAGAACCAGAACACACTTAATTCTTCTAGGCAGTGTGGCATGGTGAGTCTAAAATAATACAGAAGTCCAGTACCTCTATATACCAGTAAAGCAGGTAATTATTCAGAGAAATGACCCTGGAGATTTGCAAAAGCCAATTACTCGCCAATTATAGGCCACTTCTACAAAACTAAAGATTTTTCTTCAGCCTTTCCATAAAGACTATGCTATAAACTATTACCTTTTAAAGGGGTGCTAAGAATATTTTTGAGGTAATTCTTTGCACTATAGGATACAGACATCTCCATTTTTATTATTTAGTACCTCATACATATTCAGCAGTCAAGAGAAGATAAAACAGGAAAATAAAACTTACCATGAAAAAAAAAAAAAAACAACTTACCATGAAAGAGAGAGAGAGATCAGGCATTCCAGATAGTTTAATGCACGCATCAATGACCCCTTGAATTTCTGCAAAGACTGTAGATCCTGAAGAAAGAAAGGGGTGATACCACCAATGGAATCTGGTTTTTTGCTATAGCTATCACCATATCTGCAGTGATGGAGCTACTTCCTGGATGTCATACTTACCAAAGTTTTGCACCTCTATGAACAGTTTGGTGAATGAAGGATTCATTACATCATTTAGACAGTTTTCTCAATGAGTGCTAATGTCTGTACCTAAGGGGTTGGAATATGACTGTGTGTGTATGCATGTATGCACCTGTGTTTGGTACAGGAAACTGAACCAAGGCCCTTTGCACTTATCTGCATCCTCAGCCCTTTTTATTTTGAGACAGGATCTCATTAAGTGGCTTAGTCTAACTGTACTTAGCCTTTAGATGGGATATACTAATTTTCAGGAAAATCAAACTTTTTAGGGTCAATCTTTTTTTTTTTTTTTTTTTTTTTTTTTTTGTCTTTTTCCTTTTTATCGGTACCGGGGATCAAACTCATGACTGCTTGCTTGCAAGGCAGGTGCTTATGCCGCTGAGCTAAATCCCCAGCCCCTAGGGTCAATCTTTTAAGACTATGAGGTATAATTTTAGTATAACAGAATTTTAAAATGCAGTTTTCTTATGAAATGGATTAAACCATTTGTAAACTCTTAAATAGGAGCCATGATCTGTTATTCTGAGATGGAGGATTGTAATTGATTTATTCATGTGTGTGTGGTTTTTTGTTGTTGTTGTTGTTGTGATACCAGGGATCGAACTCACAACCTTGTGCTTGCCAGGCAGGTTAAATCCCCGACCTTTTTTTTGTTCTTGAGACAGGGTCTTACTGTGTAGTTCAGATTGGTCTTGAACTCACTACTTAGCCCAGACTGGCTGCAATCTCATGGTGATTCTGCTGCCTCAGCCCCCCAAGTGCTGGGATTATAGGTGTCCCCCACCACACCTGATTGCAAGATTGTAATTTAAAAGAAAACTTTTTTTTTATGGTGGTAAGGATTAGAGTATCAAGCATGCCAGACAAGTACCCAACTACTGAGCCACACAGTCATCTCAAAACCTAAAATATTTGTGGTGGATCTTTGTGTTTTAAATTTTTTGAATGTTATAATGGAAAGGATACTCACTATAATTCACAGTAGTCACCATCACATAAATCAATTAATTGTGTAAACAAGTCCCTGAACCTTGTGAGTCTCAGTTTTTGTCTGTAAAAAATATGGGACTGAACCCAGTACTAGTGATTGAACCTAGGGTCTCATACATGCTAGGCAAGTGCTCTATCACTGAGCTACACACAACCTTAGTCCTTTAGGGTTCTAATAGAGTGTCATTATTTTGTCTCATTAAAAGGAAATCAGAAAGCAATCTATTAAAAGTACTGTATGTAAATTAGTAACAAAAATATGGTATATGGTTAGCACACAATGTTAGAATAAATAAAACAGCAAGAGGGACAGGTACAGAGGGAAAGCACTGGCTTAAAGAAATCTTGAGACCTAATTAACAAATGTCTGATTGTATTTAACCCCCAAGCAAAATAAATGGATTTATAAACCATTAGAAAATGTTGTGGTAGTGGGGACTGAACTTAGGGCCTTGTGTGTGCTGGACAAGCTCTCGACCACTGAGCTATACACCCCAGTCCAACCATTAGAAAATGAATGAATGCATTTCTCTTAAAATCACACTGCCAAGAGATTTCAATTTTCTATTCTGCTTACATCAGCTGAATATTTTTTCCCCATAAGACTGCATACACAAGATTACCTGATCAAGTCTATAGTCTATGGTTAAAAAAAAAAAAAAAAAAGATTACCTGATTTATCTATAATTGCATCTATTTCTTCAACGACATCAAAATAGGCTTCATTGTTTGTATACTTTACTCCTGCCCGGCGCCATGGGATGTTGGACAGCTGCCCAGTGGGGAGCGTATCCCCTACATTACTACTGCCTAGAAATTGGAAAGGAAGAAAGCACAACTGATGTGTAAAATACTCATCAAAAATGCGGTTGTCAAAAGACAGAAAGAATCATTTAGATGTTTCTGCCATGTTTAGAGCTGTCTTTATTAAAATTATGGATAGTTTCTAGAATCCATACTAACATGGTCAGTTTTCTAGAAGACAGATGCAGGCTGTGTACGTCAAACCAGGATAAATGTGCTTTACTTATCTTTTGCTTCTAGCCTGTTGGTGTTCTAAGCTAATTTGAGTGGTTCAACTGCAGGATCTCATCCTCTTGCCACTGATGATAAAAAAAGCTCACTGCTAGAAAACCTGGTGCCAAAACAATTCCTCCTCTGAGATTACAAAGTGATAAATAGGACCTGTGCTATTCAGCTGAATTCTACCTGAGACATGGGTCAGCAGGCATCAGTGAAATAACTGGATAAAGAACATACTACACTCTATCCTTTTCCTATCAGGCTGGCTAACTTTTGGTAAACTGATGTATGTATGTATGTATGTATGTATGTTTATCTAAAACATATATCCTTTAACTATGATTTATTTAAATTTTTGGTTAATTTTACATTTCTAATTCAAAAACACTGTGCCTCACTGAAAAAACAAAAAACTGAAAGTTCACAAAAGTGTGTTTAAAAATAAATTTATCTTTCTATCAAAACTTATCATTATGGTATATTCTTTTTTTTTTCTTTTCCTTTCTTTCTTTTTTTTGAGACAATCTCTCATTGTGTGGTTCAGTCTGGTCTTGAAGTCACTATGTAGCCCAGGCTGGCCTTTAACTCCTGGAAATCTTCCTGTTTCAGCCTATGCTGTGGAATATTTCCTTAAACCTTTCCCTCATAAATAGGTTGCACTGTTTTCTATTTTCTATTTTAGAATAAATACATCTCTAAAATACAGCACTTTAAAATTACAGCTGTGGGGCTAGGCATGGTGGTACATGCTTGTAATCATGGCACTTGGGAGTCTCAACCCCTGCCCCAAACAAACAAACAAACAAACTCATTCTTCCCTCACTTTGTGCTGTCTACTGATTCTCTAGGGTCCTATATGAAGGCTGCCCACTACAGTTCAGAAAAAATTATATCATCTAGTGAGTCATTCTTTTGAACTTTATAAACTTCATAATACATTGTCTAATGAATCCATTTGTTTTGGAACCAAGGATCAAACTCATAACCTCACATTGTGCTGCTGGGCTATATATCCTTGATAAATCTGTTATATAAATATACATATGTTACATATTTTAGCAACATTTTCCTAACTGTAAAATACATGTTTATTTTGGAAAGTTAAAAAGTATAATGGAAAAATAAACATCACATATATCCTTAGCTGGCAATAACCACTGTAAAAATTTTACAACTTTTTCTTTATAAATATTTATATAATTACTATGAATAACTTGTTTTGTGCCCCCCCATTTACGATTATGTAACTTTCCAATGTTACATTATATTGTCGATAAAGTATGGAACTGCTTGTTAACATTTTATAGTTAATACTGTTTGGGCCAGGGATGTAGTTCAGCAGCACAAGCACCTGCCTGGAAAGTGCAAGGTCCTGAGTTTGATCCCTGGTACCAAAAAAACAACAAAAAGCAATATTGTAGTCTGGATACACCGAATTTCTAGTTATACACAAGAAATAAATCCATTGGGCTGGTCTGATGGCAGTGGGTTATCAGAACTTATTAACATTAGTGTTACTAAAGTTGGTATACCACCCCCCCACTGCTAAATTTAACTGGCTTTAAAAAAAAAAAAAGAAATAAATCCATTGGAAACTTGTAACACAAGTGAAAGACACATAATACATGAGATCTCACAGACTAATTTCCTATTTTTTCTTGTTTTAATGTATCATCTAGACTGGGCATGGTGGCACACACCTGTAATCTCAGCACTAGGGAGCCTGAGGCAGGAGGACTGTTGCAAATTTGAGACCAGCCTGGGCTACAAAGTGAGTTCAAGGTCAGCCTGAACTGCATAGCAAGACCTGGTCTCAAAACCAAACAAACAAAACCCAAAAAAACAAAATCAGGAGAGATTTTGTAGAGAAGTCTTAAATTTTCTAGGCATTGTGAGATACCAGTACGATGCCAATTACATAATGCTATTTTTATCTGTTTATGGTGCTGGATGCTAAACTTAGGGCCACTACTATTGAGCTACAGTTTAGGCCCCTGTAATGCTACTTTAAGTATTAAAAGTCAAGCCTATAAGTAGACTAAATTCTCTCCCTCCATCTTTATTTCTTTGATGGTAGTAGGGATTCCACCCACAGTCTTCACATTGACTTACATCCCTAACCCTTTTTATCTTGAGACAGTGTGTATGCTAAATTGCTCAAGATAGGACTTGAATTTAGGATTCTGTTGCCTTGGCCTCCCAGAGTTCTAGGATTATTGGCATACACTACTATCTCTGGCTTAAACTGTCTTTTAAATGGACTCATACACTATTTTCTTTAGGATTAACTGGCATAAACTTTCTTTTTCTTTTTCTTTTTTTTTTTTTGTTTTTTGCAGTGCTAGATATCAAACCAAAAGTCCCTGCACTGAGCTATATTTCTACCACTTTTTTGACACAGGGTCTTGCTTCTTACTAAATCCCTAAGCTGTTTAAGCTGTGGGCTCAAAATTGTGATTTCACAGATAAAGCTAATAAACAAAATAATAACCAAAAGTTCTTTATCATTTAAGACCTGACCTCTTTTAATGAAAAATGAAGTATGTATCCATTCTAACATTACTAGTCCTTTAATTTGGGCCAAACTGAACCACCTCAATAATGCTATATAATAGGCAGAAATAAACTGTTCATAAAGTTTTAATTGTTTAGTTCTTAGCATAAAGTATGTTTTCATCTTACCTGTAATAGAGTTGACAACAGAACGCAGAATTGTTGGTGGTTTAATCAGTTCTTTTAAAATGTTAGATTCAGTAGCCAGTGGAAATCCATTGTCCAACATTTCTTCCAAGAGCTCATATACTATGACCACATTGTCCTTAATTGCTGCCTCTGAACACTCACCAAAGTAGTCCTAACACAATATTAATAACAGTCACAACAGAATGCATGAAGAAGGGTTTGCTAAATACTTTTCATTCTGAAGAACAAACTTATAGTGCATAAGTCATTCAATAAGATGTTAGAAATATGTAAAAAAGGAGGGGGGAACCCACCTCTGTACACTCCTAATAGTATTCTTCTTCTTCTTTTTTTTTTTTTTTGTTTTTGTTTTGAGACAGGGTCACACTATATAGTCCAGGCTGGCCTTGAACTCATGGCACATCTCATGTCTCAGTCTTCCAAATCCTGGGATTATAGGCATACACTACCATGTCTGGCTTTTTAAAAAATACTTTTATTTTTGTTTTTATTTTGTGGGGTCATTTTGGAGCAGAGTCTTGCTATGTGATTCAGGCTGGCCTTGAACTCACTTTGTAGCCTAGACTGTCTCAAACTCACACCCACCTTCATGCCTCAGCCTCCTAAGAGCTGGGATTACAGGTGGGCGCCATCACGCTCAGCTTTTTAATATTTTTAAATTGAACTGAATTACCACCACATATTATGCCACAAATTGATGAAACATTAAATGACTGTGAGCTATAGACTTCACTTGCCCTGATTAACCATCCCAAAACACAGAGTTAAGTTTTAACCACTTAACTGTTTACCCCACTGTCACTTGAGCAGTGCATTTGTTTACATACTGATTATCCCAAGCTTTGCTTGGGTAGGTGTCATTTCAACCAGTTGATTCTTGTACTGAATAAATCTGATAAAATTGTCATTTTAAAAATTTCCTGTGATGAACAAAAAATATGTAACTTTTGGTCATCTTATATCTAAATAAGTGAATTGATAAGTGGTTAAATGGTATATTCAGTAAGATGAGAAAAAATTAAATGTAAACATAGAAGAGTTTATATTCAAAAAATCTTAGGACCTTCCAAAGAAGAGTACACAGAGGACATTATTCTAATTTTTTTTTTTTCTTTTTTATCGGTACCAGGGATCGAACTCACAACTGCCTGCTCGCAAGGCAGGTGCTTATGCCGCTGAGCTAAATCCCCAGCCCCAGGACATTATTCTTGATGAGAAGTTTGTATGATATTGAAAAATAAAAGTGAACAAAGTAGCCTTGTATGCCACTGTGTATACTCTAGAAAAAAAGTTTGTGAATTTATGCTTAGAGAGAGAAAAATATATTAACGGCTGGCTGACTTATAACCATGTGTCTCCCTCTCACTAACTTGAGTGAGTTAGAAAAGTCCAATGAGTAAACCAACCTGAAAAGTATCAGCAACTCGGTGTAGAAATTCAATTACAAAGAGAGGTGGCACTTCAGTTTGTATGACAGACACGAAGAAGAGCTTATCCCGGTAGATACTGATGAGGTAGTGGTGAGGTGTTGAAATGACAGGTGGTACATTTTCAACATCAGCAGCTTTCTCCTGAGCTTCAAAGAAATAATCACAGACAGACTGGCTCACAACACTTTTCCAGTGCTTCTCTAGAAATATGTCACCAGAACAGTTTATGAGAAACAGACTGTGGATCATTTTCTGTGTGGGGGAAAAAAAAAGGTTTAAATTTATTAATAGATCACAAAGTGTCCTTGGATTACACACACACACACACACACACACACACACACACACACACAAAACCCAGACAAAAACAACGTAAGTAACTAAGGGCAGATATCACTCAAGAGTACAGATATAAAAATCCTTGACAAAACATTAGCAAAACAAATTTGGTAACACAGAAGGTTTATTCCTAAAGTACAAAGTTGGTTTAACCCAGGAAACCCAATTGATGTAATGTACAATATTATTAATAAAAGACTAAGAAGAAATGATCATTTCTAAAGCTGCAAGAAAAGCATTTGACAAAACCCAACACTCTTTTATGAAAAAACATGCTCATGCTAACACTACAAAGAAATTTCCTCAACCTGACAAAGAACATCCATGAAAATATCAGTTTAGCATCATGTGGGTTTTTCTTCCTTTTTGAGGCAGGGTCTTGCTATGCAGTTCAGGCTGACTTTGAGCTCACCTTGTAGCCCAGGCTGATCCTGAACTCACAACATCCTTCTGCCTCAGCCTCCCAAGTGCTGGGGTCATATGCATCACCACCACACCTGGCCTTATTTTTAATGGAGCAAGACCACTCAGGAGGCTGAGGTGGGAAGATCATAAAAGTTTGAGTCTCGCCTGGATAACTTAAGCAAGACCCTGTCTCAAAATAAAAAATGGACTGGGGTTGCAGCTATGTGTGACGCCCTTGATGCAATTCCCAGTACTGCATTAAAAACAAATAAAACATAATGTCTGCTTTCATTATTCTTATTCACTATGGTAACAGAGGTCCTAGCCAGGGCAATTAAGTAAGAAAATGGAACATAAGGGTCCCCTGGAAAGGAAGCAGTAAAATTATCTCTGTATTCAGAAGACATAATCTTGTTATATAGACAATCCTAAGGAGTTCACACACAAAACAAAAATACTCTATTACTGCTAATAAGTGAGTTTAGCAAAATTACAGGATACAAGAATACAAAAACAACTATATTTCTAAATACCGATATTAAGTATTTGAAAATGCAATTAAGAGAACAATTTGATCTACAACAGCATCAACAAGATTTAAGTATTTAGGAAATAAACTTACAAAAAGTAAAAGACTTACAGAGTTAATGTTAAAATATTCTTGAAGGAAATTAAAAATACTGAAATGGAAAGGTACTTCAAGATTCAATACTGAAATGGCAGTACTCTCCAAAATGGCTTACAGAATCATTAAAATCCTAGATGACTTTTTTGGGTGGGAAATAGCAGATTAACACTAAAATTCTAACGGAAATGAAAGAGACCATCATGAATAGTTAAAACTGAAAAAGCCACGCCTGTCATCACACTGAGGAGGCTGAGGCAGGAGGATCCTAGGTACATCGAGATCAGTCAGACATACAAAGTGAGCTGAAGGCCTACATAGGAAGATCCTGTCTCAAGAAGACAAAAGATAAAAAACAAAAACAAAAACATTTATGGCCAAATGTTTTTCCACTTGGAGTCAAGGGCATTCACTTGGAGAATAGTCTTTTCAAGAAATGGTGCTGAGACAACTGGATTTCTACATCCAAAAGAAAGAAGCTGGATCTCATCTCATAATCTACACAAAAAATAACACAAACACCAAAGACCTAAAGATAAAAGCTAAACTTATAAAATTTAGGGGAAAAAGGGACTGGGGATTTAGCTCAGCGGCATAAGCGCCTTCCTTGCTAAGTGTGCGGTCGTGAGTTCAATCCCTGGTACTGATAAAAACGAAAAAGACCAAAAAATGAACTGATCTTTATTGTTTTCTAAAGTTATGATACTAAAAGCACAAATAAGAAAAAAAAAACTGTGACACATATCTGTAATCTCAGCATTCTATGAGGTTAGGGCAAGATCACAAGTTGAATGTAATTTATCTAAAAAAAAAATAATAACAGGGTTAGGGATTGAGCTCAGCAGCATAAGGGCTTGCCTGGCAAGTGTGGGGTCATGAATTCAATCCCCAGTAGCAAAAAACCAAAAAAACTCTCTATATGAAGCAAACTCTATATGAAACTAACACAGAAGACTATTACAAACACAATGCTGAAGAAACAAAGCCAAATGTAAAGGTGTGTCTATACCACAATTCCTAATGCTGTCCTAGGTCAGGAAAAACTAATTTATAAGATTAAAAAAAATCACATAATTTTTTTCCTGACTTAGTAAGACTGAATGTCAAAATGAAAAACTAAAATAAGGGGAGGGATATGGCTCCGTGAGAAGGCCCTGTGTTCAAGTCACAGAACCACAAAGAAAATACAGAAGAGTGAGGGGAGGAACTGAGAGGAACATGGTCTTCTAAAGGGCTGGTAATTCTAAATTCCTTATCTTGATATTTACATGTTGTGCCCACTTTGTGCTAATTCACTGGGTGTTTTTATTATGATTTATTATTTTTTGTAAGAGTTATGTTTCAAATAAAGTTTATTTTCCAGGTAGTATGAGGGACAGTGGAAAAATGTCTAATTTCCACAATTTGTTTTATCTTTTAGATGGGTTAGCATTGGTATCAATTGTTGTTTCGTGGTCCAACCATTCAAAGTAATAGTACTGTATGATAAACGCAGATAAAGGAGAAAAAATTTAAAATCGATGAACAGTTTCTACGCATGATGATAAATTCCAAACAGAATTTCCAAAATCAATCATTTCAATTCTGTTGAAATATTAAGAAAGACATTGACCTGACAATACTTTTCAGAAGTAATTTGTCTTTTTGAGAGGGTCTCACTATGCAGTTCAGTCTGGCCTTGAGCTCACTATGTAGCTCAGGCTGGTCTTAAACTTGCAACGATTCTCCTGTCAGAGGCTCCCAAGTGCTGAGATTACAGGTGTGTGTCATTATACCCAGTTGTCATTTATTTTATGAAAAAGATGTTAACTAAAAATATTTGGTAATAGTCTTCCCTTCTCATTTGGTAAATATTCAACAGTTACCAATAGTACTAAAATGTTTTAATAATTATTGTATTTATATAGCATGAGTGGTATTAGGGTTCTTGTTTATTAGAAACAAAAAATGTTTTTCTGTTAAAGCCATTTCTATTAGTCAAACAATCAATTTGAGTTGACAGCAATAAATCCTGACACTTCAAGGGTTGGGACCTGCCAAATTTTTCTATTTCATCTGGTCAGATGCGATGCTTAGTAGGTTTGTCTTGTGTCTGTCTTACATTTCTATTTGTATTACTATAGTAAGTGACATAAGATTACATAGAATTGTTATACAGAACCTACCGACTTTCTAACTTCGGCTGATGAACTTTCACTTTTTAAATGAAGTAAGATTTCCAGTAATAAGATATCTAACTAAAGGACTGGGGATTTAGTTCAGTGGTGTAGGTGCCTGCCTGGCAAGCACAAGGTCATGAGTTCAATCCCCAGCACCGCCAAAAAAAAAAAAAAGTAACTAAATTTTTTACTAATACCCCTTTTTCTTGGAATAAAATGTGTATCTGAAATATTAAAACACTGACCCAGCTTTCAGCACCTCAGATGGATGAGCTATGGAATATGGTATCTTTTGCAAAAATTAATCCTTTGGCTATACTCAAAATGTTAATAAGGACGAATGAATGAATAACATCTAAAATGTTGAATCACACACTATGGTAGGCATTTACCTATGTTATCTCATTAAGTTTTTACAAGGCCAAACCATGAATACTGCTCTTATACCTACATTACAAATAAGCTAGTCTCAAAATGCTAAGTCAGTTACTTAGGATTACACAGTGAGAGAGCTGGGATACAATCCTACATCAGTTTGAAGCCTGAGCTCCTGCTCTTACCTGACTTATTCTTAATAACAGGTTCTACTTAAGCAGAGAGCAACAGGGTCTTTACAATGGACATGTCCTTTATCTGTTTTGACCAACATGGTAGCCAATAGATACATGTGGCAACTGAGCACTTGCACTGTGGCTAATGCAACCAATGTACTGAAGTTCTAACCTTAGTTTTGGTCTTTTGAGATGGGGGTCTCAACTATGTAGTCCAGGCTGGCCTCTAACTCAGTGATATTCCTATCTCAGCCTCCCAAGTGCTGGGATTAAAGTGTATGCTGCTGTGGCTGGCTGGAGTTTTAACTTTAATTTGAATCTAGATATGTAACTACAGGTGATTAGTGGTTACCACACTGGGCACTGCAGTGAATGTGCTGCTTTCACTTGTCTTTCCGGCACTGATGATTGAATCCGGGTCCTCACACTCATCTATACCTTCAGTCCTTTATTACTATTTTGAGACAGGGTCTTGCTAAACTGCACTATCCTGTGTAAATTTGCATAGTAGCCCATCCTGCATCTGAATGCAGTGCACTATTTTCATTTTTGCCTTTACCCTCTTCTTTCTCTTTGGCCAAGTTCGCTTTGTAGAGCTGGTTTCTCCCATATTCTTTTACCTTCCTTTTTTTTTTTTTTTGGTCTTTTTAGACAGGGTCTCACTATGTAGTTTGGGCTAGCTCTGAACTCATTATGTAACCCAAATTGGCCTTGAACTCACAGTGCTTCTCCTGCCTCAGCCTCCTGAGTGCTGGGATTACAGGTGTATACCACCATGCCAAGCTAACCCTGCATTTTTTTTTTTCTGCAATAGGGTCTTACTATGTAGTTCAGGCTGGCCTTGAACTCATGGCGATCCTCCTGCCTCAGCCTCCTGAGTGCTGGGATTGCAGGTGTGAGCTACCACACCTGGCCAACCTTGTATTTTTCAAATAAAGTTTTTTGTCACTATGATGAATATATAAATTGCTAAGCTGCCTTGGCTGTGGCTAGAATTTGTAATGCTCCTATGTTAGCCACCCAGAATGCTGGAATTACAGTCATGTGCCATCATATCAGATGCAGAGTTGCTTATTTTTGCAAGAGGCTTTGTAGTTTCCTTATTTTAGGGTCAGATCTCTATTCATCCTTTTAAGCCAGTGAGAAATTCTTTCCAGGAAAGTTTCACCAATGTTGTTTTTATTGGCAACGGTCCAAGTTTCAGAATACAGCAAATTATACCAGTCCAATAAATTTACTGTTGTTATCTTTAGTGCTTAGATTTAAAATCTATTTTAACCTTCTATAATAAGAAAGTTTATTTCTCCTTTCTGACCCATTCCCTAATACATATAATAATTAAATGATATCATACGAAGTAGTGTAAATTATCTTCTTTAGCTATTTGTCATGCTTTCAATAACTACAGTTTTGGGGCTAGGGGTTTAGTTCAGTGCCTGCCTGGCAAGCATGAGGTAGTGAGTGTGATCCCCAGCCCCCCCCCCCAAAAAAAAGGAAAACCTGCAGTTTTTTCATTACCTTAATAAAGTTTCTGGGAAAGAAATACACTACTATGCCTACCTTTTTTTGTTGTTACTGTTCCTAGCACCTTTTGAGTCAAAGAATGGTGTTTATAGCCAGTCTCACAAGAGCTCGGACTATATCTTAAATACTTTGTGAAATTTCTTTACTAAATGTTGTTTACTAAATGTGTGTTACAAGTAACACAAAAATATCTTTGGAAAATGTGTATTTAGGACTAAAGGGCACAGAATGGAGGTATAAGAGGACTGATCAAGAAATGCAGTGTGTATTTAAATTTTGAAAATTTTGTTATATAGTAAGATACATTCCCAGCCAGGCATGGTGGCATACGCCTGTAATCTCAGTACTCAGGGAGGCAGAGGATCATTGTAAGTTTGAGGTCAGCATGGGCTACATAGGGAGTTCAAAGGCCTATCTAAACTAACTACACTATTTATCTGGCTTTTAATAACTAGAATGCTGTTATCTGTTTCTGTAAAACTGGGGTAGTAAATACTTTTAAATGTCACTAAGAGTTTAACCTACAAAAATAGAAAATGGCTGGGAGTGGTAGCGCATGCCTATAATGCTAGCACTAAGGAGGCTGAGGCAGGATTGCTGTGAGTTTAAGGGCAGCCTGGGCTACATACTGAGTTAAAGTCAGACTGAAGTACACAGTGAGACCCTGTCTCAAAAAACTAATAAATAAATAAAGTAAATGGAATACTTCATAAGATGAAGAATATTTTTTCCTCTTCAAATAGAAGAGAAGGAGATTTGTGTATTTGGTTGTTTCAAGATCATGGCTCCTGTGTTCTCTGGAACAGTAAGGAAGGTCATTTGTAGAGGGAAGAGTTTCATCTTTCTAGACTACTTACCACTCATGAATTGAGAGATTATTGAGTAGTTTACAAATACCTAGTTTGCAAGGAACTCCAATAGTAATACTGCTAATGATTAGGAACCCTCAACATCTCAAAATTCTATAAGGAGGGGCCAGGGATTTAGCTCAGCAGCATAAGCACTTGCCTGGCAAGCCTGAGGTCATGAGTTTGATACCCGGTACCAAAAAAATGAAACAAAACACAACAAAGATTCTGTAAGGAAAAACTAATCTGGTATCAAGAGACCTTTCCTACTAAACATACATAAATTCTTGATGATTTTCATTCACCTCATCTGGTCTTTGCCTTATGATCTCAATTTAAAGTGTACGCTATCTCTTTTCAAAATTAATCATTCTGTAGTCTGTATCCCTTTCTCTTCCTTTTCTTCTGGGATCTTATCTTTTATACACTGGTTGCTTGTTTTTTGCTGCTAAGCAGAAAGCTTGTATTTATTAAAACAAAGGAAGTCTCAAGCCTTTTTCTCATCTCAGAAATATTAATGCCTCAAATGACGAATTAGCCTACACTTGCAATCTTTCCTCAGTAACTGATTTTATTAAAACAGTTCTCTTAAGAGGGCAGTGACAAAACATCAAACACAAATGCTTCTCATATTTAAACTTCTTTTTTTGATCCTTTCAATATCTTATGTCTTTAATAGCTTTCAACAAAACAAAACTGATGCTTCTTAGTATAAGAAACTTCACTCCGTAGGCTCTCACCTTGTTTCCTCGTGGCTTAATTGACAAACTTTTATTTACTTATTTTAATCTACCTCCAACTAAACCACTGTTCCAAATTCGATAAATCGAAAACTGCAGTTCCTGTGACAGCACCTAATTTTAAAGTGATACCACCTTTTCAACCATGCAGGCTGCAAACTTCAGCTTCAGACAAATCCTCCACAAGCCGCCACATTACTCACTGCTTTTCCATACTCACTACCATCTCCTCAGTTTAGATCCCGGTCACCTTTCTCTTGAAGAACCGTGACACCCTCCTCACTGTATTCCCCACCCCAGGCTCAGACAGGTACCATCTTTTAACAGGACGTCCGCTCAAACCCATCAAAGGTTTTTGTCCTCCAAGGCAGAATCCTTGAGGGCTGAGAATCAAGTCATTGGTACTCAGGCTCACAGAGCGTGACAAGAGCTTGAGCACAAAAAGAGAGCTCAGTGAGCTCGACCTCCCGGGGCAAGGGCTTCAGAACACTGGGTCCAGGTGCTCTGCTCCCTTCCGGCCCAGTTTGCAAGACAGTCCGGAAGGCCGGGCGCAGAAGGAGGCGCGGCCCCGGTCCACAGCAGCTCCAGGGCCCAGGCTGGAGTTCCGAACACCAGCTACCAGCCTACTCCCCAGTTTCTGAGCTGTCTCTAGTGCGTAGATTCCCCGACGCTCACACTCACCCCGACAGCTGGGCAAGTCAGGGCTTTGACGGCGGGGCCTCTCTGGACCGAAGCTGAAGCGGCAGAGAAGGCCGCGAGGACCCCGCACTTGGAGTGCCCAATAGGTTGCCTGACGAACAGCCTTGAAGATAACGGTGCGGCCTCCAGTGTTAGATTAAATAAGCGGAAAGACGCTCAATTAGAGGAAAGCGTCTCCCGAGGTAAAGGATTTAATTCATCTTGATCACCCAGAATCTAGAAAAATGGAGAGTTTTGCACTATGTGGATTCAGGCGCTCATCAGCAGCCTAGCCCCGTAGGGTAAATGGAATCACTAAGGGGCGGGGCGTTATAACTGCGAGCGGGTAGAACCTGAGGTTGTAGATTAGAGGACAGAAAGGGCGGGACCGGGGGCGGGGCTTAGGGAAGACACTGTAGTGAGGGGTGAGAGGGGCGGACCGGGGAGTGCGTTGTTCGTGCGCGGTGGCGCAAAAGTTGGGTGGTAGCGCGAAGATGGCAGCCGCTGAGGGGGAGCCGAAGCCCAAAAAGCTGAAGGTGGAGGCGCCGCCAGCGCTGAGGTGAGCGCTCCCCGACGTGGGGAGGAGGGTGACAGCGCCATCGGCAAACCAGGGCCCACGTGGGGTTGCGCAGCCTGGACGCCGGGTGGTGGCCCGCTGCTGTATAGGTCCGACACGCTTACTTGCCGCTCGGGTCCTAGCCCACGTGGTTGCGACCTCTTGCTCTGTGCCCTCTCGGTTTGGCCCAGTCATTTACTGCTCCGGTGCAGCTCATGCTTCTGCTGCCCTTGACCAATCAGAGCTGGCGGACCAGGGGCCGACCCCGCCGCGGGCTCCACGTGGGAGCCAGCTATGGCAGGGCTGGTGGCTGGTGCAACCCAGAGGAGCAGTCCGGTGCAGCGTCCCTAGGCTACCACCTTCCCCTTCCCTGGATAATACACCCAGGAGAAGGCCAGCGCTTACCCTGCCCCGGGGCAAAGATAGAATTGTTGGAGATTTTCCGGAAGTGTCGCGGAAGGGCGCCTTGACCTTCATTTTTGTGCACGCTCAGGAAGCCGGCACCTTTGAAGACTCGCGGACCCAGACCACGCCTCCGAGGTTTAGCGGAGGCGGCCTTTTGCTGGATGCATGGGAAAGGTTGATTTTGATCTTGGTTGCACATTTTGGTGGCAGCAAGGACAGTTCTGCCCCTAACACCTGTCTTCTGTGTCATGTTGCAACTTGAACCCATAAAAACTGATTTGTTGAGACATTTTTTTCCCTAGTGTACAGTTTTTGATAATTTTCAAATGTTCTTTGTAAGGAGGTAATTATATCTAAAAATAGACATCAGATCACTTTAAAAAACTGTGGGTACACTGCTGTCAAATTACATTTTTTCCAACACGATTCTTCACCTTCTAAAGAATAAGTGATTTACAGTTGAAAAAAATGACCTTAGGCATCTGGGGGTGTGCGCATGCGTGCTGTTCGGAATGGACGATCAAATCTGCCAGTGCCTGTAATAAATTTGTGCTACCCTTAAAGAGTTAGTGTGCCTACCTGATACAGAGAACATAATACTGTATAAATCGCAATATTTTTAAAGCTTCCAAACTATATGTCTAATAAAATGAAACCTAATTAAAGCTGCCTGATTTCAGGGCATGTGCTTTCCTTATTCTGCATTGTATTAAAATATTTCTTTCTTTATTTTGGATACCAGGATTTTTTTTAAAAACAGGAATCGAACTCTACCTTGCATTTGTCAGGCAGGCGCTTATGCTGCAAAGCTGTATCCCAGGCTCAAAGTATTTCCTTAAAAAATACCTCTTTCACGAAATGGCCACCAACTTGGAAGACAGGTGCAAGTTTTCTCTGCTACTCTACTAAACAAAAACAGCCATTTTTAAAATAAAAAAAACTACTTTTATACAATATTGATTTGCTTTCCTGTTTATTTTAGCTTTGTGACTTAAGGAAGGCAAAATATTAAAGTCCAAATGAAATGTTTAAAAAACAGAAATAACGTAGGGAATCCAGGTGCAAGTTTGACTCTGTATGTACCTACTTTTTATATAGCTACCCAAGATTAGCCTCTGTTTGTCTGTGCTTTTTTTTTTTTTTTTTTTTTTTTTTGGACAGCGTCTATCTAACTGTAGTTCAGGCTGGCCTTGAACTCACTGTACCCCAGGCTGGCTTCAAACTCAAGGAAATCCTCTTACCTCAGCCTCCACAGTGCTGGGATTATAGGTGTGCACCACTACACCAGGTTGCCTATGTATTCTAAACAATAATGTTTAATACTTAAATATGTCTAAATATAACATGCCCTGTATTAAGTATTTTGCATCTTTTAGCTTAATTCCATAACAGTTTGATAAAGTAGATAGTACATGAGGTGTAATCAGAAAGTACAGTGCATGTTTAAATTTTAAAAAGTTATCGACAGTAAAAGACACATTACTTTTAATCCTTCTCAGCCTCCCAGCGCCTCACCCTTTTGAACACAACTTCCCCAGTCATTCTTGCCACTTTTGAAGCTGTACTGGAAGTCCTCTTTTGTGACTGTCTTTAGTTGTGCTGTCATAGCTGTCTCAGTGTCCTAAGTAGTTTGAAAACCTTTTCATGGCCGTTTTAACTTTGGAGAAGAGCCAGATTCAGTGAATAAGGTAAATGAAGATGTTTTACCATTCTGCTTTTTCATTGGTTTGCACTTGGAGGACTGTTCATTGTATTTTTTTTTTTTTATCACCCCTCTTAAAGACACTCAGGAAAATGACTCCACAATTGCTTCAAAAGTGGAACCACAGTGGATAAGTATATCTGAAACAAGGGGGAATTTTTTTTTTTTTTTTTGATGCTAGGGATTGAACTCACGATCTTGCACTTGCCAGATAGGCGCTTATGCCACTGAGCTAAATATCCTCAGCTCATGGGGAAATATTTTAAAGGTAATGAATGGTGGTGTGTCTTTTGCTGTAGAAAGTTTTTAAAAAAATTATATTTTGATCATAGCTTATAATTTTGTGTATTTTACCAGTAAGAAAATAGGCATGTCATTAGTGTCTATTGAGAACTTGTAAAATTCCTTAGGTAACTAAATTCACATTCTACCATATTAACTTAGTGGTACCTGTAGACGTGAAGCTAAAAGATGAAACATTTTGAGTATCAGGACAAACCTGTGGTTTTGTGCCCAGATCTTTGGCTCTACTTTTTTATACATGTGTGTTACTACAAATTGAACACAAGACCTTTCCACTGAGCTACACACACAGCCACTTAATTTAATTTAGTTTTTGAGAGATGGTCTCCCTAAGTTACCCAGGCTATAACTCGTGATTCTCCTGTCTCAGTTTCCCAGAGTGCTGGGATCACAGGTATGAGTCCTGCACAGCTGGCTACTCCTGCTTTTAACTTTTAACTTTTTATCGGTACCAGGGATTGAACTCAAGACCACCTGCTTGCAAGGCAGGTACTTATGCTGTTGAGCTAAATCTCCAGCCCCTGCTCCTGCTTTTATTATGCTATTGTAGTTTGGCTTTCAGAATTTCAGAATATATTTAGACTGATTTAAGCTATGATGACTTGTTTGACAGTTTAGTGATAGCTACCAGTTTGGGTTAACCATTGAAAATGGATTGTAAATTCTAAACTTAATTTAAAGTGTAGTGCTAAGTGTGTTGATGCATGGCTGTTCATGAGGCTGAGGCAGGAAGATTGCAAGCGTGGGCTTCGTAGTGAGTTCAGAAATCCTATCTCAAAAAAATTAATGTGCGACATAAGCACCTGCCTTGCAAGTATGTGGTCGTGAGTTTGATCCCTGGTACCGGTAAAAATACAAAAATAATAATAATAATAATGTGTAGACTGAGTCAGTGGGCAACAAGTAAATTAATGAGATATTTTTAGATGTCAGGAAGAAAAGATTCAGCTAGTTCGAGGGCAGTGGTTCTTAACGGGAAATTTAGTCTGTAAAGGGGACATTTGACAAAGGAAATATTATTTGAGTGGAGTGGAGTAGGTAGATTTTATGTCTTCTGTCAAACATCATACAATACACAGGACATCCCTACAACAGACTGGTCCGACCAAAATTGTCAGTGAGACTGTCTCAAAAAAAAGAAAAATCAAGAAACATTTTTGGAAACTACTCCTTAGATGAAGATGTTCCATGATGATCACCTATATTTAGGACTAGCTCTCTTTTCTCTGTTGGAAATCTTACCCACATTCATGTCTTCAGCGGTCACCTCTAGGAAGATGCAGTGCATTCCAAGGGTTGTTGAGCACATGCCAGGTCTGTTCTTGTAGTCTGTCTTTCAAGTACATGCTATTTTAGGCATGGGACTAAAAACTGGAGAATGTACAGTGTGTGTGTGTGTGTGTGTGTGTGTGTGTGTGTGTGTAATTCTGCATCCTTTCAGAAAGTGAGGTTTGGGAAAATGACACCTGAGCATTATTAAAGATGACTAGAAGTTAATCACTGTGAAGCGGGATACCTGCCTTTATAGAAAAGTTCATTTGGAGGCAGAGCTGGAGAGAGCTGTGGCTATTGACTGAACTGCAGGTGGTTTGGCCTGATTGGAGCAGAAGACGTAAGGGGTTCAGGCTTTGTAAAGGACATTGTCACATGTGATCTGTCATTGTTAATTTTTAGCTCTCTGAGCCTAATTTTAACTGTCTACTGTGTATCTCCTTTTGAGTGGCTCCTTAACTTTCAAACTCAGACATAGCCAACTGTCTTAGTCACCTTCCTATGGCTAAGACAAAATACCCAACACTCACAACTTAAAGAAGAAGTTTATTTTGGCTCACAGGTTCAGAAGAATTATTCCTTGCAGCTCTGCTGGCTCTGTGGTGGAAGGGACAAGGTGGAAGGGGCTGGGCAAAGGAAAGCTGCCCCCAGAGAGAGGGGAGCCATAGAGCCATAGAGTGAGAGGCACTCCTCCAGCTCCCCGGCCAGGCCTTTTCTCCTCACAGCACATAGAGCTGCAAACTCATCAGCAGTCGCACACCTTGAAGAGTAGAGCGTCTCCATGAGCCTGTCACCTTCCAGACATGGATGGCTTTTGGGGACACCCAAGGTCTAAACCATAACACCGGTGAAGTGCATTTGTTTTCCTAAACCTGTACCTTCTTCGTGATTCTTGTATCTGATCGTGGTATCACTGATTTTTTTTTTTTTCCCCAAAGCTCTACTTTGTGTCTTAAATTTTGTTTTGGATTCCTAGCTACAGTAGTTTCTCTACTTCTAGTTCAAGGCCTTCTGAAGGCGTAGCTCTACTTAGTCATCAT